GAAACCTCTTGTTGTCACTGTGATCATGTCCTGCACGGTGGTGATAGGTGAAATTATCGAATGTAAAAAACGTAGGAAAAAAGAATCTTTCCTGTTGGAAAGCTCATGGAGGATTCTAGATTCCTCCTACATTTCAAGTCGTAGTTGCAATGTTGCCGCCGCACAGTGGATCGAGTCAATAGGAGAGGTCGGACATAACTTGGAAACTTTAAAAGCTTATAACTCCGTTAAATTTAAACCTTGAGATTTTAAACATGGTTCCATTGGTTTCCTCGTGAAATTTTCTTCAAGAAGCACCCCTTAAAGTTTAAAATGTGACGAAATAAACATAAAAATTTGCAGTTCTTGTCAAAAATTTCATGTCCAACCTCTCTGATTGACTCGATCCACTGTGCGCCGCGGAGACGGCTCTTTTCTTCCTCCATACACTGAAAAAAAATTCTCGGCGTTTTTACCAAGGTCCGTTGGTACCTTTACCATCTCACATTTTTTACCAATTATTGGTAATTTTACCAAGACAGACTGGTAAGCTCACCCAAAAACCGGTATTTTCACTGATTTTTTCTGGTAAGAATACCACTTTTGTTGGTAATCAATTCCCGGTAACTTTGCCATTTTATCTCGGTAATTCTACCACAGTCGACAAAAAATATTGGCGTTTTTACCGAGGTCCAGTAAAATTACCGAGAAAGTCCAATAATTTTACCGAGATTTCTCGGTAAAATTACCAATTCCGCAAATGTTAATTTTACCAAGAAAAAACTGGGATCAAATAGACCCCTGAATTCTTGGTAATTTTATCCTTTTCTTAGTAAATACACCCAGATTTTTTTTCCAGTGTACCAATGATAATGTTAAATTGTGACGTTGTTACCACAAAAATAACATTATCATATCAATAGGACTAGAACAGTAGGTGGGATCAGGAATCTTCTATGACCATTGGTCATAAAAACATTTTCTACTGTGCTAATTACTCAAGCTTAAAGACGCATACTGAATTTAATTTGGTGATGATTTACTGGAATACTTTCATTAATTGAAATACATATTTTATTGAGAAACTTCCTTAACATTTTAAAAAAAAATATTTCGATGTATAGTATTAAAGAGCGACAATGTCTTCATAGATATTATTATAATATTAACCGAGATATCGGCCTTTGAAATGTCAGATTTTTGACGTCATCCACCGCGGCAATGACACCCTTGGTTTCTTCCTCTTGTGTTCGATCAGTGATGCAGAGGGTGCAACGCGAAACTTCAACGACGTTAATCGTAAACAAAGTGAGGTAAACTGACCGATCGCCTAATTTTTTCGCGGATCGCGGTGAGTACATTATCTCCTGTCAGGAAGATCTTTAAAGTGCGAATTTTGAATCCTGTATCTTGAATCTTGAATCTTGTTTACGTTTAACGTCGTTGAAGTTTCGCGTTGCACCCTCTGCATCACTGATCAAGCAAAAGAGGAAAAAACCAAGGGTGTCAGTGCCGCGGTGGATGACGTCAAAAACCTAACTTTTCAAACGACGATATCTTTGTTAATATTGAACGCAGAAAGTTGCGGTTTGGACAGATGGTTTTTTTTTCGCTAATCTACAATGATCAACCATCAAAACACGATTTCGTGACCAGCGCAACTGACCCATTATTTGAGGTACTGCATCAAAGGAAGCAGTTTTGGCATGACCCTCTCTCTACTTCAAATGAAAGGGTGGTAATAGGAACTAGCATCAAATTCTAAGAGACATGCTAACTTTATTTGAAAAATTTATTCAACAAAAGTTTGTGCGGCTATCAACTTTTCCATCATATTTATACAGTCCGCGTGGCAAGCGGTGATCTCCAAGACCTACTTCTTACGCCGGTTTAATTTTCTGTAGGTTATCATCTCGCGAATTGAATTTGTCAAAAGTTCGATCGAAAAGATTAGACAACTCAAAAAAAGTCCTATCAAGAGACCGAAGAACGCAGCTTGCAGATCACTCATATTAAATATTCTCGGAAGATTTGGCGCACTTTTGGATTCTGGTAAATTTTGAGCGCGACTGGAAGTCACCATACTTTGTAAGATTTTTAGCGCTCTTCCATTTTCTATCAATGATTGAATCATGCCGTTTATCTCATCAAAATAAGGGGTACTTCTCAGAATCCGGTACATGTACGGATAAGTGAGGGTGCATTCATCAGTTTTGTGGACTTCAACATCCCGATCCATCATTTTGGTTTTTAAGAGGAAGTATTTCGTTGCCCCAAACACCCTCGGAATACTAAGCAAAAACGCATCGGTCTCCACAATTGAGATTAGTTGTTTTCGGATTGGGTGTGTCATCCGCATGAATTTTGCTTCTTTTGGGCTCATTTTTGATTCGTTTCTCTCTAAATCAAATTCAATATTTAAGTTGTCATCTGCATCTTTGAAAAGAGTTGTGATCGCCAGATCCAAGTAATAGGAGAAGCTATCGGTAAATTTATTCATAAAGTCTGGAGACGAGATACTTAAATCATAAAACCTTTGTTCATGCACTGTCTTTGAGGGAATTTGAATTATTATGTCCGAATCTTTCAATTCCGCTAAAGTTTTTATCTCTGGGTAACGAGTGTACCCACTGAGCATGTTGAACATCTCGCTCTGATAAACAATTCCGATGACGAAGCTGAAAATAGTTAGTAGGATAAATACTAACTTTCCCGAGTACATTTTCCCGAGTAAAAGACGAGAAGGGCTGCCATTCATAAAGTATGACCATACAATTATCAGTGAAGAGGTCACTTCATAACTGTGTGCTGTTTTTTCAGTGTGAAGATGCCGGAACGTTCTATATTGCGAATACTGGAAAAAGGATTGTAACCCAATAAACAATATTACTGTTATTAGAATTAGGCTCCAGAGTAAGCCCGAAAAGACTTTGAACACCACCAAATACTGAGGCACGTAATCACTCGGTGGGGTCACAAAGTACAACGCATTGGTTTCAATTCCCGTGGTGAAGTGAAAATCAGAGATGTCATCTTCTTCGAGAGCCGAGATACCGTCGGTAAGGTAGATGTCTACATTGCTCTTCTGCAAGAGTTCAAAGTCATTAGAGCAAATCGTAGAATTCTTTAATCCTTCTATCATGCTAGATACAGGCAAACCTTCACCATTCCTAGCTCCAATTTCGTATAAAGCAAGATGCAGAATATCATACCATGCTTGTTGTGATAATAAATCGTCAGTTGTACCGTCAACCTTATGTTCGAATACATACTGTATTCTCATGTTGTGAAAATTCAGCTTAAAGTCATCGTTTTTATCATTTTGTGGAATGGTATACCGCGAAAGTTGCTCTTGAAATGGGTCATACTTAAATAACTCGTGACCAATGCAGATAATTGTTTTGCGCCCTTTGAAAAATCGCCACATGAATGCAAACGATAATTTCAACCGATCGAGGTATGCCTCCGAGGTGACCGTCTCGATTATTTTCTCTGCCACCACGAATATCAAATAGTTATCAGGGCTCCAAATATTGTGCACGTAAAGCCCGTGGCTGTAAGTAAGAACGTGGTCTGATGGAAAACTATCACTATCTGCATCAGGGGCGACGAATATATCTACCGACGTCATATTCACGACAAAATCGCATGTTATGTTGCAAGCTGTTCCACAGGTTGGATGTAATTTTGCATCGAGCTGAACGCAGTAGCGTGGTAACTTTCGAGTGGTCGTTCCCTCAATTTTTCCCCGGAGCCCATGACCTGTAAAGTTCATGAATGCCGAACCACCATTTTTTTTGTCCATCTTCTGACGAGACCCATCGTTGGCAGTCCCCAGGATTAAACTTAAAATATCGTCGAGACTTTCCACGAAGAAGAGCATGTTTTTCTTCACCCTGCCCGAGGATGAGAAGAAATCGCTGAAAGGATTTATTACAGCTGTTGCGAGTAGATTCTCGTGCAGAATTTTTATGAGAGGTGTCGGAGAAAAAGCTGGTACCAGATTAATGATGTAAAAAAATCGCTGTTTTGAAAGTTCAGCGGTGCGTGTACATAGTGAGACCAAATTGTTCAGACTGCTATCATCTGGCGATGCCTGTTCAAACTTCAAAGTCATAATCCCTTGGAAAAAGAAGGTGGTCAAAACAATACAAACTAGAGACGAAAATTGATCAAAGTCAGCGCGCATGATGAACATTTTCGACATTTTTGAGAGCAGTCTGATTCAACTTATTGTGCTTTTGGTTTAATTATGATTATTCGGAAACCTCACTCGTGATGATACGTAACAATGTGGTAAAAAGTAGCAATCACCTTCTAGCTTACAGCAACTAATATGTAATTAAATTCTGGAGGGGGACTACTAGTTTTTATACTCAATGATTTTTTTTCGGCCGCACAAGGACGGGGAAATATCTTAATCGTTTCGCTTCAAAAACTACACGTTGTTTTCTGTCAGAGTTTTCTGTCAGATGTTTATTCAAAAAACTTATTTGTTCCAAACGAGTGACGGACGGGAAAATACTATCGGCTTTACAACTATAGCAGGAGGAATTTAATTTCTTTCTTTCTGTCTTTTTTCACTTACAAATAACAGAAATCTTTTCCTGGTACACGTGTCAAAAACATGATCGGCGAAATACTTGCACTCATTGGAGGTCATGCAGATTGACGGCACATGCATGTACTACAATTGAAGTTGGTAGCATGTTGTAGTGTTGCACGTGTTGTAAAATATTATTGTTGATTTTGCCTCTTCCAAGAAAAGGGTCTCGCAGAGGTGTTCACCGAGAATAATGATCTTATTACTGTATATGTATGTTACCGCATTACTGCAGAGCTGTTTCGTTCCTGAATTACACTTTTTTTTTTTTTTAAATCAATCTAAGCTTATATTATAAAGGCTCACCTTCATAGAAAAAGTCTTATGAATCGGCAAGACAGATCGTTTGATGCTTTACTTATGTCGCTTTTACAATATTCCCTTTCAGTAATAACTGTTTACAAATCTCAACACTAACCTTTAGAGACAAGCTGTACAGCGCGTAATCTATCAACAGAGTGGTAGAAATACATCCGTTGAATCTCTGGTGTCCTATCTGAAAATAAAGAAATTAACCTGAGTCAATTTAAGTATTAACAATTTAACCTTGAGTTTATTAAACCGTGTGCTTAACAAACTTAAATCTTTAAATCATTTCTCGGATTTTAGTTTCTTTAATGTCTTAGGCGTGAGTAATCAAGGGCTGAGACAGCCAAAAAAACAAAACAAAAATTGCAATAGATGGGATTTGAATAAAATCAATCATTCGAATCAATTTTGGCAAAATTGACAGCATAGTAGAATATGTTTGCGAAAATCACAATCTTTACATTAAAAATTCTGAAATCCACTCCTAGTGCGCAATTTGCATAGTTTGGAACTAGACTGACACTGATGTTTTGATGATTTAGCTTTCTTCTTTATGTATAATAAATAATATTCTCCAAAAAACAACAAAGATGTTGATTTTTGAAATTTTAATTTTCTGTCACATGGGTCGGTGTTTGTATTAGTCCTGCTTACCCGAATGGAAGAAAATAATTAAAATTTTAAAAATCAATATTTTAGGTTTTTTTTTTGTTTTTGAGAATGAGCAATGTATTTTACATCAATAGAAAACTAAATCATTGAGAAATCAGTCATGGACATCTTTTTACTGATAAATTGGCTGAATTCGAAAAAAATGTTTGGTTTTGATTTCCCACGTCATTTTAGTCCAGGCGCCTGGTATGTCTACCCGGAATTTTGGGTACACAGCGATTTTATTGGCTTACTTTATGTTTTTGGGTCGTTGAATCCGAGTCTGAAGTTTCCTACCGCGTATCTGGTGAGCATTTTCCGCCATATTGAACAAATTGCGTAAAAAGGCGTTTTCAAACCATTTTTTCAAAATGGCGGAAAATGCTCACCAGATACGCGGTAGGAAACTTCAGATTCGGATTCAGCGACCCAAAGAACATAAGGTAAGCCAAAAAAATCGCTGAGTACCCTAAATTCCAGGTAGCCTCATTTTCAGCTACCAGGCGCCTGGACTACTACTTCAATATTAAGCTTCCATCGCCTTGCTAAGGCGCAGGGATACAACTCTTTGAACTCTCCAGAACGCGTGAGTTATCACACCTCAATTGTAGGCGTTTTTGAATCTTCTGTATATACATGACGAGATTTTCCAAATTGTTTTGCATTATATTTTAGATTTGAGTTTCTTTTATTATTTAGTTAAATTTCTCCTGCTTCTTAATTTTTTATTTTTCTGCAAAAATTATCCATTTGCGAAATACAACCCTGGCTTTAGCGCCCTTAAATTACGGCCTTTACGGTCGAAATCAACGACCCAAAAACAGAAAGTAAAAATGATTTTTTTACGTTACGTTTCAGGGAACTTTCTGCATACGAGGCAAATTACTTAAAATTATCAAAAGAATCCGCACAAACGTTCCTCCGTGCACAAAAGTAAATTGCCCGATTAAATTTGGCAATAGCTGATGTGGCTTGTTTCCTTTCTGCTTAACGCGGTTCACTTTCTCTTTGGCTTTTAGTTTAAACCTACTACGTTACGTTACGTTTCAGGGAACTTTCTGCATACGAGGCAAATTACTTAAAATTATCAAAAGAATCCGCACAAACGTTTGACCTTTGACCTATCATAACTCGGTCAAAAATTAAGATATTGATCTGCGGTTTGCGCCAAAATTCTTAGTTTTTTATGCTCTTTCGAATGATGTATCACAAGATAAAAGTTGAAAAAAAAGTTGGGGGCCCCCCGCGCCCCCCCTGAGGGGAGACCAAAATTTTGACCCCCCCCAAAGATGGTCCCCGTTGAGATAGGAAGATTCCCAAAGTTTCATTACCCTAGCTCAATTCGTTCAAAAGTTAGCAGGGGTGGGACGGACTTTTGGTACACCCTGTATGAATATTCTAGGTTTGCTCAAAATTGAGGAACCTCGGATCTCGGAACTTTGGAGCGCTTCGGAACTTGGCTGACCGCGGCGGGCCGGATCGCGCGTTGACGGGTGCGCCGCGAAAACGTGAATGGGCGCGATGTTCACGATGCTGTATCTTCCTCAATTTTGAGCAAACTTAGCATATTCATATACCATTTTCTTCCAAATTATGTCAGATATTCAAAACATTAACTAAATCCGGGACTTCTTCTCATGCGTGGCCGCTATATCCATAAAACCGCAAAAAAAGGCATTCTTAGGCCATTTTTTCAAAATGGCGGAAAATACTCACCAGATACGCGGTAGGAAACTTCAGATTCGGACGACCTTCAGCGACCCAAAAAACATAAAGTAAGCCAAAAAAATCGCTGTGTACCCGAAATTCCAGGTAGCCTCATTTTTAGCTACCAGGCGCCTGGACTATTTTCCATAAGGAATTCAAAAGTGGTCGTCGGGTGTGTGATTGGCTGAAATGCAAGCGCGAGAAGATCAGACGGTCACGTTATACTGCTATTCAAAGCGAGCCATTGGCATATCCAGGGGAAGGGGGAGGGGGAGTTAGAGGGCGGGTTAGGGGGCGTACGCCTCCTGGCGTTGGCTCGAAAAAAAAGGAGGAAGAATAGAAGGAAAAAAGATGGAAAGAAGGAAGGAACGGAGGAAATAAGGATGAAAGACGCTTACATTTGATATAATTATTCATCGCGAAATTGACTCGGACTGCATATTAGATGCTTCAAAATTCAAAAAATTTTTGGGGGAGGCCCCAACATCCCCCTTACGCACCCTCCCCCCCCGTTTCAGGTGTCTGGTGGACCGCGTCTAGCAGAATGGAACCAAGTCACATCAGCTATTGCCAAATTTGATCGAGCAATCTAATTTCTTACAAGAAAACCTTTGTGCGGAATCCTTTGAAAATGTTGAGGTATTTGCTTCTTACTACGCAAAAAATTCACAAACATTTGTACAAAAATCCGCACAACCGTTAGAAATCGCGGAACGCAAAACTGCGAGATGCGCAAAGAAATTGATAGACATAGCTATGAACGGGGGAAACGAAGAAAAAATGGCCGCGTGAAGCAGAAAGGAACGAAGCCACATCAGCTATTGCCATATTTAATTGGGAAAATTACTTTTTTACGTGAAAATGGTTTTGCGTATTCAGGCGCAAATTTCAGTGAACTTTCTGCACAGTCCGAAGCAAATTTCTGAAAATTTTCAAAGGAATCCGCATAAACGTTCCCCCGTGTACAAAATTAAATTGCCCGATTAAATTTGGCAATAGCTGATGTGGCTTGTTTCCTTTCTGCTTAACGCGGTTCACTTTCTCTTTGGCTTTTAGTTTAAACCTACTACGTTACGTTACGTTTCAGGGAACTTTCTGCATACGAGGTAAATTACTTAAAATTATCAAAAGAATCCGCACAAACGTTCCTCCGTGCACAAAAGTAAATTGCCCGATTAAATTTGGCAATAGCTGATGTGGCTTGTTTCCTTTCTGCTTAACGCGGTTCACTTTCTCTTTGGCTTTTAGTTTAAACCTACTACGTTACGTTACGTTTCAGGGAACTTTCTGCATAGTACGAGGCAAATTTCTTAAAATTTTCAAAGAAATCCGCACAGAAGTTCCCCCGACTACAAAATTAAATTGCCCGATTAAATTTGGCAATAACTGATGTGGCTTGTTTTCTCTTCGGCTTTTAGTTGAAACTTACTAGGTTACGTTTACGTTACGTTACGTTTTAGTGAACTTACTGGGCAACGGAGCGGGGGAGCTCGGGGGGCGAGCTCTGGAGCGGGTGAAGGGCGAGTGCATGGCGTAAAAAATCGTTTTGCGGACGCTGGCGAACCAGTCGGCCGCCTCGTGGAGGATCCGTCTTCCCAGGTTGATAAGGAGCGCGCCGGACAAGCGTAAGTAGAACCATCTGTTCATCTCGCCATTCGTTGCGCCGATAAGCTCGTCCGGAAATAATGCCACCCTCTCCCACCCTCCGCCAACTTCATCTCCTCCACCAAGGATTCCACCTGAAACCAACAAAGATATAGTCTAACGGAAAGTTTTCGCCAACTGGATGCCAAGGATTTGCGATTTAATTACTTTCTTTCTTTAAATTTCGCGAGAAACACGATGCGCCACCAGTTTTCTTTGAAATGAAGTCCCAAGCTTGAAGCAAGCTTTTGAAATCGATGGCTCAAGTGCGAAACGACGTGTCTCCGTCGCGGTGTTTCCGAATTTCTGCCGTGCAACGCAGAAACGCCGTAAACGCCATTTTATATTTTTTTGGGAACGATGTATCATAGCAGAAAAATTTATGTACCTTAAGACAATGTCATCACAGAATTCATTCGCAGATACTATCAAGAACTTAACCTGAAAATTTGAGGTGCGCGGGTAAAACGGTTTTTATTTTATGAAGTGTTACGTTCCAAAAAATGAGGGAAAATCTTGACGGATTTACGGCGTTTTTGCTTAGCACGGCAGATTTCCCCTCCTACTTTTTTATTTCTGAGAGAAGCAAGTCAACTACACTGAAAAAAAAGTTGCTGTGGTAACATCCGGGATGTTACTACAGGAATTTTTTTCGGTGTATACAGCTTGAAATCTCTACGGTATACTCTGCTAGTAGAGGGATACACCAAGAAAGTTTTCAAGAAATTAAGTTGACCAGTTTTCCGAAGAAAAAATAAAGTATGATCGGAAGTTTGCAACGTCCCAAACGCAGATGCGTGGTTATACACTAAGCCATCGATATGCTGGAGCGAAACTCATTTATCGGGGAAAGCAAAAAATGTCCTGAGGGATGCCATACAAAACTCTATAATTTTCGGGTGCTGAATTCGAAAATAAAACTCATTCATCCCAAAATCCAGCAATTTTTTGAAAGATTGAATATTCCCCGGAAAAACTAGTAACTTGGCGAGACTTTGATTTTTTGGCAAAATCTCACCTAATTGGAGTGAAAACGGACGACACGATCGGTTTCAACGCTAAAATCCTGAGAAATGTAGCCGCTCAACATTCTTTTCTCATGTCCATAACCTGCGTGATGAACAATGACAAGCATGCAAATCCGGGTACTTACTCGATCACTTAAAGCTCCTCGAAATCAGAATGTCTGTTGCCATTGCTCTTACCCTCTCACACAACCGCACTCAAACTCCTGTGCGACCAATTCACTTTAATCTCAATCACTTTTCATGAGTAGCACCGCACCTTTGACGATATCACTTCACACTTGCCGATCTTTTGACATCATATTCTCGGGATCGCACTTCGGCTGAAGATGCGGCACTTTATTCGTGAGGAGGGGGAGGGGGTGTCGCGGGGAGGGGGGGTGTCGAGGGGTGACACGTGTTTTGCATATGAACCGCGAACTGGGCCCTGCCCCAGTTCCCCATTTCCAGACGCGGCAGCAGGGGAAGAATCTTCCCACCAGAGTTTGCAGATCAGCAGCGAGGCGTGAGTGATCGATTATCGATATTTCCTCATTTGAAGTTATGGTAAAGAATCGATTATTAGGGTGTTTGCTGCGAACATCCTATTTATCGATCCTATTCCATAGGTTTAAAGGCAGATCAGTCAATATATCGCAAAACGCGCCATGCCACTGTTGCGGATTTCTCGAGGAATTCACACTCGCACCGTTTACACGATTTAAAAGAACGGAAAGGAATGAACGAACCCTGTTCGTTTCGAAGTTTGCTACGTATCTACAGCTGTGTTGCCGCTTCGACAAAATTTAGCAGTTATCCTCAAAGCGACTTTGTATACAGTTGATAAGCGCTTTTCAGAAATGAATAAAAAAAACTGTTAAAACTGCGATGTACAAGAAAAATCAGTTTAGTTTTTTAAGGAGAGTGATTTTTGTCGAATTATGCGAGAAAATAGCAAACCCCGTTTCCGTCAAGAATCATACGCAATCGTCCAAAATAGATAAGTACAAATAAGAAATTGTGCTCGCAATTTAAAGCCACAGATAAGAGTGATAAGTCTGAAACTGAATACCCCATACTTGAGGTTTTTGACACTGAAGATCTCTTTACCGTGGATGGTCACGAATACAGAAATAAAACATTTTGAGATGCGATACTTTCCTCCTAAATCTGAGGAAAGGGCTGAGCTTTGACAATGAGTCCTCGAAGATGGTTCAATCTGAGAATTTTTCACAAGCTCCTCAAAAAAAACAAAAAATTGGGTAGTAAAGTGAACAAGACGCAAATTTATTTTTTTCTTTATTTCCAATACGAATTGATGATTGAGAAGGTGCAGGTTGAGTTAACAGACGGAAAAGCTCGTAAGTGTAATCTTGCCCTCCGAAATTTGGACCGAAACATTTTACCTCCAAAATTTTACAATCACATTTTTCATTTGTTATTATATGGACCGCGTTTAGCAGAACGGAATCAAGCCACATCAGCTATTTCCAAATGCTGGGCAATCTAATTTTTTACGAGAGAACGTTTGTGCGGATTTCTTTGAGAATTTTCAAGAATTTGCTTCGTACTGAGCAGAAGTTTCACTGAAAGTTGCACCAACATTCGCATAACCATTTCCACGTAAAAATTAAATTGCCAAATTGAATTTGGCAATAACTGATGTGGCTTACTTCCTTTCTGTTTAGCGCGGTCCATATTTACGTCAATTTCTTTACAAAAATTATTTTTTTCCACGGTCGGCATTCAAATGTCGGGAATCTTGATCTTTCCTGTCAAATTAATTATTTTTTTTCAATAGGTAAGGACTTTTATATTTATGAAATACAAACGTATACATAAAACGTACACTTACCCCTCCGTATAATATACTAATAAGAACTAGTTTAATCAGACCTTGCTAAAGATCTCTTTAAAACATGAAGGACAGCAAATTCTTAAGATGAGAGAATAGAGAGATGATAAGTGACCTATTTACATAGACGTGTTAACATACATGGAATAAGCTCAATGAGTAAAAAACCAGTAGGTAATAGAATAGAATAGGAATAAAGGGACTTAAAGAAAACGGTTGTTGGTCAACAGTCTTAAACTGATGTCTTTGGTTGGAGATAATCGAATTTGAAGGACCGACTTTCTATGTCTGCTTGGATTGATTAGACTAATTTTTCAACTTGTTCCATAAGAAAATTGACTTGAGCTTGGAGCTTATTGATTATTTCGATCAAATTAATGCTCAAAAAAATGAAGGAAATAACATACGTGTCAATAAATAAAATTAATATTTGTGCAGCTTGTTACACTAAATAAAAAACCACGTTTAAATTTACGTGTAATGAATAAAATGGTTGTAACTCATTGTGAGCTCAAAAGTTCTCTCCAAAAATAGACATTTTTCTCACCGGAATAAAGTAACACAGTAATATATACGCTCACAGAATTCACAGAAATGCCAGTTTTTTACGTTAATTTTTGTTCTTCTTGATAAGTGTCACGAATTTCTCATGGATCAGGGCTGGTTAAGCGATAATCAGGACTGGTAGACCTGTCCTATCCGGAAGACATCCTCTCTTTCGTTCCTCCAAGAGGTCCCTTTATAAATGTTAGGAGTACTTCCTAATCGTGTCTATGATATTACCAGCAAAATGTTTCTGCGAGTCGGTACCCCAAATGTAGTCCATGTGATTAAATTTTTTATGCTTGATCAGCTTATACCTGATCAAACGCGGCAGCTTCTCGGCCAACTTCTGTACGTCCTGATTTAACAAAAGACAATGTAAAAATTAACAAATGTGTATGTCGCATAGTCCTGGTGAGAATTATTAAAAGATATAATAAAAATGGACGACTTAATTATTAAATAATGCCTTACGGACAATATTAGGTCCTTAAAACTTCACTTTTTGACTTGCTGATCTACTCTCTAACGCAGCAGAACAGCTATAATAAGATACTGGTTTTTTTGCAAATCCAAACATATCCCTGAGATTTAACATGTTTATCATATCTCTGATATCAGAGTAGGCTGAAATATCTCATTTCCTTCAGACACACCGATGAAAATTCAGAAATTCCGATCTTCAATCAGTGTTTCAAAATTTTTGCTCGTCGATCATCTGACGTAGTCTGCGAGTTTCAATTTTTTTTTTTTTTTTTTTTTTTTTTTTTTTTTTTTTTTTTTATATTTTTTTTAATTAAAATGAAAATAATTCAGGACGGTAATTTAGAACTCCATATATTTGACAGCACTGGGATCCCTTCGTTTAAATTTTATTAAAACAATTGATTCCAGATGAGGCAGAATGTCATGTTGCCTGTTCACAAAATTGAAGGCGCGTCGCATTTCCTTACTCTCACGGCATCGTAAAAAAACGTAAGATGAAACACATAATTTTGCCCATCCATAAAATTGAATCAGTGAGAACGAAAACACAACTTGAACAAATGAAAATAATCACGACACACGCAAAACTGCACGGTAGTTGAAGATGTTAGCACAAGAAAAAGATTTTTGGTGCCGCAAGACAAGTACTTAAGGACACTTTAAAGGTCCAAGTTGGAACAGATGCGGTAACTTATCAATAACCATTACGAAATCTGACTCTCTTTAATACAAATTGAGCATTTTTGAGTCACCGAGTTGTTGTGTTTTCGTTCTCACTGATTCAATTAGAGGCGCGTCTCGTGTTCTTCTATGTCTATGATTCGCGCGGTCCATTGCGCTGTTTCAGTATAACGCCCGGATGCAACTATTCGTGCACTTCGGATGACCGGTGTTGCCTACACAAAAATTGAAGGAGTTCCAGTTGTTCTTGCTCGCATAGTAATGCGACTCACTGTGCTGTTTTGATACGGCGCCTGGATGAAATTATTCGTGTTCCCGGGTGTGCTTGTTGCCTATACAAAAATTGAAGGCGCGTCGGATTTTCTCGCCTTAACAAGAGGAAAAAAATAACCCCTGGTTTAGAGGAATTTTACCGGATTTTTGAAAGATACATAAAAAACGAGTTTGAAATCACGTAATTTAAGCTATCATTGATGCACGCATCGCCGAGAAAGCCAAGATGGCCTGAAAACAGTTCCGTCCCGCCCCCACCCCAGGGACTTTTTCGACCTCTCGAGCCGATAGATCGCATTCGATGGTGGTTCGTCATATCGTTTGTTTTAAAACAATAGAACAGAACCTCAAACAAAATTTTAGGATTTAAGTTGGAAAAGCTGAAAATGAGAAAATTCCTAACAATTTCACTTTTCATTGCCATTTCGTACTCATAAGAATAAAAATCTATCACAAAAAACCCGGTCTCTCATACTGCTCAATTGACTTTTGAGGCATGTTTACATATTGAACCAATCGATACCGATACAATATCACCTACTTGATGTATCGAATACGATCCATTGAATTATTTTTTCGGTCGTCTATTGATAACGGCTGAATGGGTAATAAATCGCAGCAGGGAGGTCACGTGACAGCTTGGCATTCTTGACTATATGTGTTTGAATGAAAGCTCAAACTACGAAACTTTGAGCTCGTTCTCCGTGGGTTTATATCGTCCAAATAATCCGGGAAAATTCCTGTGAACTAAGTGCTCCCCTTAAAGTTAAAAAATGTGAGCACTAGAAAATCACTGAACAAGCTAATTGGAACGGAGAAAAGAGACTCATCTCATTTGGACTACATTTTGAAATTAGGAACTACAATCTCTGTCTCACTATCGTGAAAGCACCTCACTGGAAAAAAAACACATTGGATCTAGAGTCCAGACTCTTGAAAACATTGACAAGAACATGGACTCTTGATTCAATCAGATTTAAGCTTAAATCAAAAGGAAATCCGCTCAAATTAAGAGGCTTGGTTCTTGATTTAAGCTTAAATCCGATTGAATGAAGAGTATATTTTCTCGTCAATGTTTTCAAGAGTCTGGGCTCTAGATCCAATGTGTTTTTTTCCAATGCTCTGTGCATAGGGAAACTAACGGCACATGTGTTTTCTCTAAACTGAGCAAGGAATTGTAATTTCAAACAGCAACATTTGGTTTTGTTCCACTTGAAACTCTGCACGTGGAATTGATATTTATGGCAGCGATGACAGATTACATAAAAATGTATTCTTCGTGTAGAAGGACTTACTTTTGGGTGGGATAAATAATCATTATCTGCGAAGTAAATGGCGACTTTTGCTGTGATGGCGCTCAAGTTGTACGCTGGAGGATATCGTAAACCGTAACGCAGAAGATTTTCCTCAGGCCCATAGTCAAAACGATTGAATTTGTCTGTATCAAAAATTAAACAGTTTACGAATGAATATTTTTCAGCCAACAAAATATAGCAAAATGCCCCAAGTAAAATTTTCATGTCGGAAAAGGCATATGTGATTCATAAGTGACTTTAGATTGGTCTCTGATTATCTAGAAAAATTACGATTAAATCAGGGACAAATTTTCATCCTTAATCACAAAAATTCAAATTTATGAAAATATATGTATGCAATGTAATGAATGTATGCGAAATTATTTGGAATAATTACTGCATGTAAGAAACGACAGCTCCTATACCCACATTGACAGCCAAAATAAAACAAAATGTTTACCTTGGATTGCAACGTTACTCATGCTCAACCCGTACATTCTTATCTTGTCGTAGAGAAATTTGACTTGAATCGACATATATATAAAAAAAGGAAAAAATGAAAGTAAAAAAAATTGGTAGCGTACTCAGGAATTATCGTGTTTGAGCCAAGTACTTTTCAATGGCCTGGTTACACGCTCAAATTTCCGTCAAATTCCGATCAAAATGATGACCAAGATGGCGGTCGAGAGTTATCTAGATTGATGAGTATACATTAATTAAAACGAATTAGAAATGAAATAAAAATGAAATGAAATGAATTAAAACTTGATTGAAATAAGCATGAAATAAGCACGGTTGTGTGGAAATCAGATGAAGGATGAGCCCCACAATTCCATCATCTACCATCAAATTTTTCCGGGCCGCAGAAATTTGATGGTAGATGGTGCGCACCAGTCACCATTTGATCGGAAATTGATGGGAATTTAAGCGTGTAACCAGCACACAAGGGTATTGTGGTTGTCTCTAGATGGAATTCGGTAACAACGTTGTAACGATTTATTTTCGTAACTTGGATTATTGAAAGGGGAGGAGGGGATAATCAGATGCAAGACTTACCTCCCCAAAGTAGTAACTGAGCGTATGCTTGCAAAGTTCGCTCAGAGACACCGTTGGGGCCATGTCCCAAAAACAGCGCTACCGTGTCCTGAAAAAAGACATTTTTGCGTACTTGTATTGTATCGAAATTACACGAAGTCCCATTGGCGCTCATTTATCGTTGGGGGAAAGAAACACAAAATTCCGCGTCCCTGATTGTCATCAGGGAAAAATTTCCAAATTACCCAATGGTTCAAGACAGTCGTTGAAGAAAAAATTAAAAAATCTGCTCTTCAGATGACCATCCGGTAAATCTGGCAAATGAGCATCATGAATTTTTCATTATTTTCCAACCATTTCCTTGAGCTCCATTATTGATAGCGAGTTTTCATCCTTCTCAGATCAAAATTACAAAAATTTACCTAGGTGTGACAATATCCTCCGAGAAAAAACTAAAAATTCCGCTCTTCGGATGGCCATGCGGGAAGAGTGGCAAGGGAGCATAGATTTTTAATTATTTTCCGACCTTATTACCTCAGTAGCCTGCAGAATTAATCAACAATCTTGAATGGTAAAGCAAGCTCATGAGCTTGCTTGCAACCCATGGGTTGAATATGAGGAGTTTTAAAGTATGTGTCCATCGTATTCTATAAAAAATTTTGATAGAGAAATTTGATTGATTTTAATAAATTTTGACTTTATTGTGGTTCTTACTTTTGTACCCTATTTAGTGGTCCATTGACAAAATACCTTGGTTTCCGCTAACACGGAGGATGACTTAATTCACCATGTATTTTAATCGGGTAATAAGCAACGTAAAGATCTAATGGAATTTGATTAATTTTTTTTCATTCATTTTTAGCATACATTTTTTTTCTTACAATGGAGATTTTGCACGCACATTTTTTGTTGCTTCATCTGAGGGTGCTTAAAGAGCTAATTTTGCGTAGTATTTCTTATAATTTTTTTCCCAATGAAAGAGATATTATAAATATCGATTCAATCATGAGAAAATGACGTCATCTATCTGCATTTCCCATTTAAACACGTGTATTTTAGCAAATTACATCATTTTGTCATGTATTCTTAAAAAATTGTTCAATTTATGAACCAGGGTCTTCTCTTGTTCGGTTCACTCAGTAGTTCTACGTATCCACGAAATTTGTCAAATATCAGACACCTGCAAATTCTCCATCGTGTAAAACGAGCACGTCACGTGACTCAACCTAATGGTTTGGTATGAATAATTTCTCAGTGATTTACCATGTTTATTAGCTCCAGGTCAGGTCCAACAGCAGAAAATATTGACAGCCAAAAAGTAGCATTGGTGAGTGGGTTTTGCAGCATTCCAAAAAGAATTTCACTAACTTGTGGATTTCGCGGCAGTAATTCGAAGTTATTCCTGGCTGTTAGGGGATTCAGCTGGAAAAGAGATGGTGCTGAATTTCATGATACACATTCGATATCAATGACAAAAGTATGAATTCATATTTCTCTGGTTACAATAGTTAATATTTTCCTTTGAAAATGTTTTTGCAAGAAGCCTCAGAATTGTGATCTTTAAAAGTTGTGTGTGATTCTTCTTTGCCCTTTGAAGCATATTCAATGAAAATTCCGAAAAAATTATGAAGCAGTGTTTCTTAGAAAAATGACACAGAAGCAGATATTTTGTAACAGCCTCGTGAAAGACATTTCCGCTATTTCATCCTTTGATATCCGATATTTTCTCCTCATCTGTTTTTGCAGATGAGTTCATACATTCAAATCTAGATAGCGCAATCCCTTGACATACCTATGAGGCTAAAATTGTCGAAGATATGAAATTCTTCCCCTCAAAATAGCATGGTTACAGAATACATCTCTAAATGTCTATACTGATTGTGAAGTGTAAGTTTTGTTCTGTATTGCTTTTTTCAGTAATTTCACTTGGTGTCCATTTTACCAGTGGCGAGACGTGAATGACGGATTATCGAGATTTCCCCATTTGAAGCTGTGGTAAAGAATCTATTTTTAAGTTGCTCGTTGCGAACACCCTGTTTATTGATCTTTTACATGGGTTTAGATGACACATCAATCGATATATCACAAAGCACGCCACGCCACTGCATATCACGTCTGCAATAGCAAGAAATATTTTAGGACTGTCCATGGTTTTTTTTCTGCAGCTGTGAAATTATTTTTCGATTTGAAGTTTTAATGATGTAACATTAATGTAAATGTTGAAAAAGAGTTAAATTAAAGATGAAAGCTTAACTGCAGTGTGATCAAGAAATTTTGCGAGACACGTTGAAATAATTAACGTTGTTAAGCTGGCTAATCCAAATTCTTTCAATTTCAGCATGTTCATACGTGGACATTTACCTTGATCACATACTGAAACAGAGAAAAAATATGCTTGGTTGAACTTCGAGGAACTTTGAAATGAAAGTAATACAAAAAATTATCAATATAAATAACAGGATCGATAAAGTTTTTAAGGTCATGCCAAATTTGTAATGACCCTAAGGAAAATGGTAAAATGTGAAGTTACATTTTCACCTCTTAGCCATGACTGTTTTGTAATTGGTTCTATTCTTTTAGATACTCGTCATTTTTCTCAAATTTTGAAATAGCAATTCTGTTGTAAGAAGACTAAAACATTCACTTACCAATTTTGACAAACACATTCAACGTAGGCGTGGTTTTTTTAGAGAGAAAATATTGCATTCGAGTGCAGTTTCGATGTCAGTATCGAATGCGACATATTTCCTCTAAAGAAATTACGCCTTTATTACTTAACATTTGTTGGTCAAAATTGGTGAGTGAATTCTTTAGTCTCTTGACAACAGAATTGCGATCTCAAAATTCGAAGAAAACGACAAGTATCTGAAAAAATGGAACTAATCGATGCAATATATCGCATGTCGTTCTGACGCAAAATATAGCGTCCATCGAATCACCTTGAACGATAGTAGTCCATCTTCACTGGAAAAAAGTCTTTTTCGGATGTAGAGTCCAGACTCTTGAAAAGTTTGACAAGAAAAAGAGACTCTTGATATACGCGGATTTCTCTTTGAATCGAGAGCCCGGCCTCTTACTTTGAGCGGATTTTCTTTTGATTCAAGCAAGACTTCGGACGAACCAAAGGTATTTTTTCTTGTCAAATTTTTTAAGAGTCTAATCCCTGGATCCAAGAGGCTTATTTTCCAATATGCACTTGATGCACTTTGGAAAACCAACACCCAACCCTACTAAATCAACCAACTTTATTTATCTAGTCTGATAGGAAATTTGTCCCCTCGATCACTTACTTTGTAGAGGTCAAAATCCACGGCAAAGGGGTGAAAGAGATCGAACGCCCTCATGTTACCCATGAAGCAGATCGGCGCGAGACTGAAATGGACGGCGATCTTGTCGTTGTACTCGGGTCGGGCGGAGGCCATCACGTAGAACTGTGTGGTGCCCATGGAATGGCCAATGTAGAACAGCCTCTTCTGCCTCGTTTTGGCCAGGATGAAGTCTATAACAGCCGGAAGGTCACGGGTCCCCATCTCGTGCCAGCTGCAACGATAATCACAAACCGTAACTGGGGATAAAAACAGCAACACAAAAATACATTTAATATATATTTATATAATTTAAAATATTCAAATATATTCAAATATATTCAAATATATATTTATATAATTTTTTTTTCTTGGTCGCACTAGTCACACTTCAATTTCTTATGATACTGTGCAACACTTCTGTTGTGAAATAGTTGCTTGAAGCGCCGTGGCTGCCAGCGCAAAACGCACACAGGCGCCTACAAACCTAAGGGGATACTTCAAGCATTGCGTAATGCGTGAAGTATCCTCTTAGGTTTGTAGGCGTCGGTTCGCGTTTAGCGCTGGCAGCACGCTGCTCCGCTCTGTTAGGCTCTAATATTTAAACTCGTGGAGTCAGCGTTTTTCAACTCATGATTTTGAAATGTGTACATACTTTGCATGGATAATTCTCAGTTGAATCGATGAAAGAAAAAAAATGAATATCGACGGTGTAAGTCGGCAATCACACAACTTGGTTTGCGACTGCGCTTACTTTCTGTCATACTTTACATTTTAAGCTACTCAACTGCCGTGATTTTTCTTCTCTATGCAAAGAAAATTCTGCAAAAACTTCAAGGAATGATGTCAATTTGTTCTCCTTTAAAAAGATAACTTGGAGGGGGAGATTCTCAGACACCGCAAACGAGTTATGTGATTGCCGACTTACACCGTCGATATTATATTTATACGGTGAAGCAACCAGATCACGTATCCCGTTTGCGGTGTTTAAAAATCTCCAACCGCATTTAATTTTTTTGGAAGAGATCAGATCGATATCATTCCTTGAAATTTTCACAGAGTTTTCTCTGCACGGAGAAGAAAAATCACGAAACTTTTCAAGAACTGACGTTGAGAAGTTTTTGCTTCAAAAAATGAAATATCACGGGAAGTTTGCAACGTTGCAAACCGAGATACGTGGTCTGGTAGTTTCATCGTCAATATTTGTGATTGGTATTGTTATCTTAGGATTAGTTGGACTGCGTTTTGCAATAAGGAACTACAATTTATGGCTAATTGAAGGAACAACGTATGTGCAGTTCAACTCCCTATGTTGATAGGAGTTCTAATGTAAAAAGTATTTTGATTTTCACGTGAGCTCTGGTTTACATGTAAGTCAATGCTTTTTGGGGTTCACGCGGAAATCGAGGTACGCCCTATCGTCAGAGGAGCAACGGGTAGAGAGAGCCTCTGGAGGAAGTCAGACAAGAAATTTTCGACTAAAACTGCAAATTTTTATGTTCATTTTGTTACGTTATAAGAGGAATGAATCTCAAATAAAATTGATCAGAAAAAACATGTATACCACTGTAAATTTTCTAAGATTCGTATTAACAAAGATATTCATGTATGCCTCTAAGACTTCCACATTAGGATCGTGTCCTCACACTAACTCGTTATACACAGTGTTACGACAGGATAGCAAACGACCATTTTCTCTACACTTTTCCGATAAGGAGCTACTGCTTCTGGCTCATGTATAAAATCATATCTCTGCCGAGAATACTGATGTAACATAAGCCGTTTTTAAAGTAAGAAATTGTAGTTCCTAATTGCAACATGTATTGGGAGTTCACTTGCAAAAACAATCTAAGGCCATCGTTTGAAAGCCAAGAGCATGTAAGAGTTTTTAACCCTCGTACAAAAAAACTTATAAAAGAATAGACTAGAGGAATAGAAGACTAATAGATAGAAGGTAATATCCTTTTGGAGCAGTCTCACTGAAAAAAAGTCTACCTACATGAGAACTTCAAGAAAACCATTTACATAACTTCTCAAGGTTGAATCATATTTTCAACCCATTTTGTCCTCCGTTAATGAGTCATTGGGCAAAAATTTAGCTCTGAACTGGCTTAGAGACTCTGATTTTAAAATTTCACCCAATCCTAAAAAGATAGGTTCTTTCTTCATTGTTCCAAAGTACTTAGGTAGCCTCCTCTCGCATATATGAGTCTGCTTGATTGGAATCAGCAAAAGGAAATTATCTTCAGTGATTTTTTCTCTAACAAAAAATACATCCATACAGCGGAAAAATGATTTAGCTTATACTTACCGACTGGACTACATTTTACATTAAAGAACCAATATTTCTGAGTCACTCATAAAGCGCGTTTTTGAATGAGAAAACTATTGTACATACAATGTCACTAATATGAGCCGTAAATTGTAACTACTTATTGTAAAATTCAGTTCAAATGTTCTACTTGAAATGTTCTGTAATTGTTCTTCGCCAATTCATAAATATGCATGGAGAATGCCCAGGAGGTATTTATTTTTTAAAAGAAAAAAATATGCATACTAAATGATCGGAGATTTTTTAATGTTGTAATCGGTCCAAAGCTATACAGAGCAAACGCCTTTCCCCAAACTGTCGAATGCGAATATGTCCTGTTTGCAATTTTATCCATTTCGCGCAAATTAAAAAAAATTAAGAATAATATTGCACAACGAGGATACATTTATTTTCCAGCTCAAGAAGTATTTACATCTTCAACGGCAATGTAGAATTGGCATAAGTTTAGATGAATCAAGTCAAAAGTTTTTCTCACAGGAGGCTTTTTTTGGAGATGAGTGCATGTCTCATAAAATTAAAAAATTAAAAAATAGTTTTTTTTACGCAGGAGACTATGCCCAAGACTTTTTTTTCCGGTTTATGCGTGTAAATTTTTTCAAGGAATACCTGTTGGCTCAGAAAATTTCGAACTTCCTAAATTATTGGTGATAGAGGAGTTCGGCTACAAACACGAGTGAACTCGAAACTAAACCGATGGTTAAAGCGACAAACGCAAGTTTCATGTCCACCATACTGAAAGCTCTAACCGGCTCTCTATCGTATTCGTCTTCGTAATTCCGAAAATTTGAGAGGGCATCCAGGACCGTTTCAAATTTGTTCAACAAAATCCCACCCTCTTTAAGATGGCTTACGATAGCTTTAATTGCAGGGCCATACACAGAGTTAGACAGCAAACGGATGTCGTAAGGGTAGCTCATGATATATTCATCTACAATATGAAAATCAATACGTTCAAAAGGAGGGATGACTTTTTCCACCGACATCAGGTCTTTTTTCCAGGCCAGATGGGGAAGGAATATGATAAAAATACTGTCTTTGATCGCTGCATTTAGCCCTTCTAACAGGCTTTGTATGGCCGTCGTTGAGAGTTCTGTACCATGGGCACTCCAAAAATCATAACCGACACTATAAGAGTCATTGAAGTTCAGGTAAAGTGCGAAGTTTCTGAACTGCTCCTGGTACCAGTCGTAGGAGTAGGTCAAACGATCTTCAGTCCATGCAAACTTAGGGTCGTCCTTGAAAATTAATTTGTTAGAGTGGGCTCCAGTCCACTGGATGGGCAGTCCGGATTCTCTCAACTCCTCGATTGTATTAATCGGGACGTACCGTATTCTCTTGCTGATATTTTCTACCAATACGCTGAGGAAAACCGAGGATAAAATTAAAAATGAGAACGAGAAAATACCGAACAAAATCCTCCCTGTGAAGAGGTCGATCAGTAGCCGGGAACGGCTGACGCAAATGACGTAAGAGTAAACTGTGAATACGGTGGAAATTCTCTCTGCCACGTGTGGGTTGTCCTCCGAAGATCGCAGCTTTACAACCACTCGTCTGTAAGCCTCGTATGTGACGATGAACAGAACCACCGTCCCACATGTAAATAACCAAACTGTCTTTGAAAAACATCTAGCCGGCATCAGGTACGATGGCATGTGGCCTTTCTCCGGAACGACGAAGCTCAAATGGTCAGGGTCGATCAACGAGATGACGTCAAAATCGCGAAAATCCTCGTCGAGTAAGCTTCCGTCCACGACAACCACGTCTGCGTCCTCTCGGATCGCGTCATCGAAGTCGATCTCATTGGAGGCCAGTCCGTCGTTGATGGTGATTGTGCGAGGCAAGGCATCACAATACCCTCTCAAATGATAACATACGGTGTCGGTAACGAACCTAGTGATCGCCGGCCATGCTCTCAGCTGGGCCAAAGAGCTGAATCGGTCGTACCTCCAGTATTCGAAAACCGAGAGCGGCCTACCGCGCAAGGCGGGCGGTGAGAAGTCGAAATAAGCGATGGTGTCATCGGTGTACTCGTTGATGACGTCGTTGGAGGGATCGTAGTTGAAGCACTCCTCATCGATGCAAATAACAACTCTCCGACTGCGGAAGAAGCGCCAGATGAACCTGAACGTGATCAGCAAATCAAAGTCGTCGCAGGTGTTATGATGGGATGGGATGTCAGAACATCTATTCGTTTTGCGGGAACTGAGATGAGAAGTGTAATCACGTTTTGTGTCAGGATCAAGATAGTAAATGTCTTTACTATTAACACACCCATTTCTGCCTTGAAAATTGTGTTGAGAAATGTTATAATGTAAATTAGTGTCACAATCGGGATAGCAAATGTCTTTCCTGTTAACACACCCATTCCTGCCGTGAAAATTGTGTCGATCTTGTAAATTTTTGTCGCAATCGTAATTGCGAAAGTTTTTACCATTAAAATACGCATTCCTGTCGTGAAAATTGTTTTGATGAATATCATCATGTAAATTTTTTCCACAATCGTGATTGCAAATGTCTCTATTGTCAACACACTCATTCCTGTGTTGAAAATTGTAGCGAGGAACGACACAGTGTGAATCTCGGTCCGGTCTGGGTGATTTACATTTGCGGATAGTAAAGATGATATGTTTTTCTGCGTTCCAGAAGGGATGATGAAACAATTTACGGGTTTGCCGGAAGAGTGGCTCCGGTACCATTGAACCCACCAGCAGATCTTTCTCGTTGATTTTCACGAGATGTTCGCACTTTTCATCCCAGTGGTCCCAGTAGCGTAAAACTCGCTGCTTCATTTGGTACTCGATGCAAATGCTCGATAATGAGATTTTACGAGTAGGCAAATACTCAGTCATTGTGGCATTGAGCAGACTCGTGACTGATCCAAGAATAAGCCTCAAAACATCCGCACAATTCCTTATCATCAGCATGACCACTTTTTCGCTCGGGTGGTAAGAAAGACTCCAGGATTCCGTGGTCGTTGGGATGTGATTTTCCTGGAGTAAGCAAACCAGTTGAGTTGGTGAATACTCGGAGTCGTGGGTGGAAATGCGGACACTCCTTGTTTTTGAGATTTTCAGGGTTTGTTGAACGACTTTCAGATAAAACGGATCTAAATTTGTCCTCGGTGCCTGGCATGACTGAACCACACTTGGGAAAATGATCCCTAAAGCAGTCAAGTACACCCACCATTTTTTGAATGCGAGGAGTGTGAAAATTGGTCTTTTTCTGAGGTTTGCGTCGTCAAAAGAGAATAATTGTTTCACTGAATGGGAAGGGTTGTTTGGGAGATACTCTTGATAGAAATTTTTTTTATGCGAATACATCGTTTTAGCATTCTCATAAGACCCGGAGATTTCAAAATTTTTATAGTGCTTCCGTTCTGAGTCCACTCTAACTTTTCGCACTTTTACTTTTCTTACCGTTAAAAATATCAACAAAAATTAATATCTCTTTTGCAACATAAAACAGAATATTAGAGATTGGAACAGGAACTTGAAAGTCAATTTGCCACAGGGTCTCTAGCACTGGATTGGCACTAAGATAAATGGCAATGCGTCTCATATTCGAGACTCAGGAGGGTATAACATGTTGAGATGTGCGGGAATTTTCAAGAAAAAAATTCAGTCTTTTTCGTCTTGGAGTCACGGCCAGTGTATAAATTGTGAGATTACGTAACTTGTAACGAAACATTGCCTTTGAAAGTAAAAAAATTACCTCCTGGTTTTACGTCAACCCTCGCGAATTCGCGACACATCCGATGACGGAAAATTTCCGTTTCAGTATGATCAGTTTTTCGCGGAACATGATTTCAACCTAAAATCGAGTCTGATGCGTCATGAGATCTACCAAAATGTATGTGGAACCATACACATTAAACAACAAAACAACAATTCCCTCAAAGAATTCATTTCAGAGGAGAATATTGGTGACGCAAGCATAATTAAGACTGTCAAAAAAAGGGCAATTATTAATATTCATTTTGTAACCGATTAAGATGGAAAATTTTAACACCGAGTTTGCATGTACTTGCACTTTTAAACGCATTATAGGCAATACAACACATCACCTCAAACACACACCAAACTATCTGAGGAAAACTAGGCCAGAATATTTATCAAGATAACTTGAAAAAGACGTAAACAGGGAATGTTTATAGACATCAAAACTTAAACATCATGAATAAAGAATTTCAAATACTCCTACATGTGATATTGTAACGCCTATCTTTCTGCCACTTGGCAAGCGCAATAAATTCCTGTTTATTTGCTTTGAAGCGGTGATTTTTGTTGCTGACAGAAATCTAGGGCACGGAGAGAACATGCATCCAGGTTTGTTCCTATGGTATGTTAACTTGAGCCCTGAATGTAGATCTTAAAGAAATTGCATTTTTAAATTACGCTGGTCAACGCAGGTCAGTTTTTCGCGTATAAAAAAGAGCTGATCCCTAGTCGCTTTTTGGCGTTGATACCAAAAATAACCAGTGTCATTCTCGATCAGTCCGGTATTGCCCCGAAAAATCGGAATTTTTCGGAAAAACTCGAATGCACTGTCGATGGTAGCCCAAGCCCCTGGCGATGCAACTTTATCTGCCTTGCGGCCTAATTGCATTTGCGAAAAATGAAGGCGCACTAACTGAGCGCCACACTAGACGTTATTATCAACGGAAGCCACGACTCATGAGTTTTTGAACTTCCACCATTTTTGCAAACCTTGACTCAAGGTTCTGGCGAGTTTGGTGTACGTCGCCCTTCAACGGCCACACATATCTACCTGATTATGAGCTGCGGCAATTTTTGGATTGAGAAAATTTGAGTTTTGGCATCGTGAAGCCGGTTCTAATGGAGATGTTGCATGTGTGAGGGATTTGCGATTTGACCATTAATTCTTATGTAAAAGTTCGCGAGAAACACGATGGTGCCACTGGTTTTCCCTGAAATCATCTCCCAAGCTCAAAAAAAGCTCTCAAAGTGAGGCCAAAATGAAGGGGATATCCCACTCTATCCTGAGAGTCCACCTCTACATCAAGACAAAGTCTCCATGCAAAGATAGGGAGCAAATGCATTAGCAGGGTTGCCGTGTTTTCAGTTTTGGAGTGCCCAAATAAAGTGGTAACCCTGCCAATTTATTTGCTCCCCATCTATGTATGGAGAGTTTGTTTTGATGTAGAGGTGGACTCTCAGGGTAGGGTGGGATATTCCCTCCATTTTGGCCTCACTTTGAGAGCTTTTTTTGAGCTTGGGAGATGATTTCAGAGAAAACCAGTGGCAACATCGTGTTTCTCGCGAACTTTTACATGAGAATCAATGGTCAAATGCAACACATGCAACATCTCCATTAGTTGTAGGGCTTTGGTGATAATTACCAAAACTCACCTGAGTTCAAAAACAGGTAGTTGTAACATGGAATTAATCATAACTCCTCACCAGAATGTGCACACGCAAAGAAGCCCGAGGCTTACCTGAAATCCCAAAATTTCTCTTCGTCCGGGGACAAGGTCGTATGGTTTCTGGAATAAGTGCTGCCTCTCACGTTGCTCAGCCATATATCATATCCCTTAAGTGCCAGTTGGAACGCTGTGAAATTAAGGGAAACGTGCATTAATTTACAGCGCTTTTTAATTACGAATTTTAACCATGCTATACCTTCCAAAAAAATCGGGAATTTTAAAAAAACCGCATGCAAAAACGGCCTAATTTTCTCGTAACTCTGATCGATTTCTAGTTTAGTATGATACTCTTCTAAAACAAACAGTCCTATTTTTTTGAAGTTACAAGTCTCAAACAGTTGCGTGGCGTGCTTTGCGATGTATCGATTGTTCTGCCATTTGAACCTATGGGAAAGGATCGATAAACAGGGTGTTCGCAGCGAATACCTTAATAATCGATTCTTTACCGTAGGTTTAAAAGGCAGAACAATCGATACATCGCAATTCACGCGACGCCACTGGTCTCAAAACAATTATTCCTCTTAACCCTTGGAGGCCCAAGATTTTTTTACGCCTAGTCTCAAGTCGGGTCGATTTGACCCGTATTTAAAAACATTGATTTTGCAAATTTTTTCAAGTATTATTTACACCTCGAGTCGTCTCGCCTTCAATTTTGCAGACGCAACACGGACAACAATCCCGAATAGTTGCATCTCTGCGCCGTCACCAACGCGCGTTGAGGTGTCTCTTATTTCTGAGTTTTGAGAATTATTAAGGTAAATTAATAATTATACATATCATAGCATATTTAAAGCAAACTTTCGCTTAATTATTCTCAAATATCAGAAATAAGAGACACTTCAACGCGCGTTGATGACGTGCAACTATTCGTCCGTGTTGCATCTGCAAAATTGAAGGTGGGACGGCACGAGGTGTGAACTTGCAGTGCTCCGCTCTATGCTGCCAATGAGGTGTACGTCGTTGCTCAGATTTGGGAGAATAGTGAAAAAAAACTGTCTCTCTTGTCTTCGGCTGTGTTTACACTAGATATTCTTTTTTTTAGCGGCTCTGGTGCTTGCACTAGAGCTGCTATTCCGGACGGTCCCAGCTGGGGAGTATCAATGGACCATGTTACATTGGAGAGACCGCGCGTTGGTTGATGGGAATCGGCGCCATTTTCGACTATGTACCTTATCATGACTTTATTTTATTGCATATTGTTTTATTGTTAGCCAATGCTATGTTGTGTAGTGTATTTTTGGAATCATGGTGATACAGTCAATAATTCAAAACTTGTCTGTGCTTTAATCTCGTGATAGATGTACTTTAAAATTTACGTTTAAAATTTGAAATTTTGAATTTTAAAGTTTTCGCGGTTTTTTGGAAGAATGCAGTGGTTGGAGCTTCCTAGGCATATTACTCGATATCAGCTGATAGCAAACAAAGGTTACCAAGGAAATCGTAAACGTTTAACAACTATCTTCTTGACTACAACTACCGTCGCCAGAGCCGCTTTCCGACGCGAATGCGTTGGAGCTTACTGCTTGTTTTCAATTTCATGGCTCCGGTTCTCCTCACCGGAAAAAAAAAAAAAAAAAAAAAAAAAAAAAAAAAACATTGAATCTTGAGTCCAGACTCTTAAAAACATCGACAAGAAAAAGTACTCTTGATTCAATCAGAATCTAGCTTAAATCAATAACCAAGCCTCTTAATTTAAGCAGATTTCGTTTTGATTCAAGCAAAAATCCGATTAAATCAAGAGTAATTTTTTTTGTCAATGTATTCAAGAGTCTGGACTCTAGATCCAATGTGTTTTTTCCCCAGTGTTTAATGAATGTATTTTTAAACCTATAACTAAAACTCATATGCAACGGCTCCAAGCAACCAACCTATCATGTCGTTTTAGCAAGCTTTAAGTCAATTTGATCCGGTTTGGGCATTTAAAGGCTAATGGCAGTGTTTCAAATTTGCTACTCTGAAAATTCTACGATTTTTGAATCAATTAAGTTATCGACCTGTGGTTTCATTTCGCATGTCCAAACTTGATGGAGAGTGTTGGGCGCAATATTTTTAAGGTTAGCGGTCCTTTGAAACCGGGTATCTCTAGATGGGTGTCATCATTACAAAGGGCCCCGCAGGACCGCATTTTAGCGGCTCACACAGAGATGGAACTATTCGTGCTTGATGATTGTCCATGTTGCATCTGCAAAATTGAAGGCGCACGGTGGAGCGAAGCATAGGAATGCCCGGTCATCGCCTTGCTCCCCAACTTGTTTCGACTATTCCACTCGTTCCAATGGGCACTTCGTGATGAAACTTGGGCATTTGTGGTATTTCGATCGTAGAATTCATTTTTGACCTTACTTTACTTGATTTATTGACGGAAATACATAATTTTGGAGGTTCTTTCTAACTTTCAGTAGAAACGTGAAAAGATACGTTACTCAAAGATAAATTTTACTCGTTTCTGTGGGCATTTCGTGTTGAAACTTTACAGGCTAGTGGTATTTTTATCGTAGAATTCATTTCACTTTTGAGACTTTACTTTCCTTGATATAATAACGCGGACGCACGATTTTTGGGGGTTATCAAACTTCCGGCGGAATCATAAAAAGATAAGTTGCTCAGAGATAAATTTTACTCGTTCTTATCGGCATTTCGTGTTGAAACTTGGTCCAGTCCTGGTATTTTGAACGTAAAATCCATTTTTGACATTAAAATTGCCTGTATGTCAACGTAATTACACTACCTTGGATTCTTTTTAAACTTCTGGTAGAAATGTGAAAAGAAAAGTTACTCGAAGATAGAATTAACTCGTTCTGGTAAAAAAGACGTGTTAAATCGTTGATGCACGATCATACTTTCATCTTGGAACCAATTTTTGAGCTTACTTTTGTTATTCTCTTCACATGCAAATGTGATTTTGCGGGATTTTATTCTAAAATCGATCGGAATGCACAAAGGAAATTTACGCAAAGATTTTATCCGTTCCGATTGATATTTCATGTTATACGACTCATGATTTCCTGTGATATTTTCATTGAGTAATAAAAATTTGATGTGACTTACATTTCTATTGAGGACACCTAACCAAGAACAGCCTATAACTGGAAACCGCGTTTTGAGAAAAACGCATTAGAAGTTTTGTTTTTGATGTACTGCGCAGACTGAGAAGAATCATCTGGATCAGTTTTCGGAACACGCTATATAATCGCTTTCTTTCACGATCAGTGCTGACCGATGCCAACCGTGCAAATTGGGGATTCCCCGATCACAAACTGCCGCCCCCATTCGAACAAAGCATCGATGAGCCGTGCAATTCGGTTATTTGGAACACCCTGTAGCCGCGCTTTCCGCCTCCGACGGGGACGACCGCTGCCAACCGTGAAAATTGAAAATTCACCAAGTTGATACCGGGCTCCTGGGCAACAAGAATCCCTGGAAAATCGAGATCACCTTTAGGAACACTCTGTATCTACACACTCTCCTTTATTCCGAATGACTGCTGCCAACCGCGCAAATTGAGAAGTCACTGTAGCTGAAGCGTGCCCCTCTTGGAAGCAAGCATCCAAGAATCTTCTAGATCAGTTTTCGGAACACGCTGTATAATCGGCTCCTTTCTCGATCCGTGCTGACTGATGCCAACCGTGCAAATTGGGAATTCCCCGATCACAAACTGCCGCCCCCATTCGAACAAAGCATCGATGAGCCGAGCAGGGCAGGTCTTTGGAACACCCTGTATCCGCGCTTTCCGCCTCCGACGGGGACGACCGCTGCCAACCGTGAAAATTGAAAATTCACCAAGTTGATACTGGGTTCCTTAGCAACAAGGATCCGTGGAAGATTGGGATCACTATTAGGAACACGCTGTATCTACGCACTCTCCTTTTTTCGGGATGACCGCTACCAACCGCGCAAATTGAGAAGTCACAGTAACTAAAGCGTGCCTCTCTTGGCAGCAAGTATCCAAGAATATTCTGGATCAGTTTTCGGAACACCCTATATCCGCGCTTTCCGCCTCCAACGAGGATGACCGCTGCCAACCGTGAAAATTGAAAATTCACCAAGTTCATACTGGGCTCCTTCGCAACAAGGATCCGTGGAAGATGGGGATCACTTTTAAGGAACACGCTGTATCTACGCACTCTCGTTTTGTCGGGATGACTGCTGCCAACCATGAAAATTGAGACTTCACCGAGTTCATAATGGGCTCCTGGGCAAAAAGGATCCCTAAAAAATCGAGATCACCTTTAGGAACACTCTGTATCTACGCACTCACCTTTATTCCGAATGACTGCTGCCAACCGCGCAAATTGAGAAGTCACTGTAACTAAAGCGTGCCTCTCTTGGCAGCAAGCATCCAAGAATCTTCTGGTTCAGTTTTCGGAACACGCTGCATCATCATCGCTTCCTTTCACGATCAGTGCTGACCGATGCCAACCGTGCAAATTGGGAATTTCCCGATCACAAACTGCCGCCCCCATTCGAACAAAGCATCGATGAGCCGTGCAGGTCGGTTATTTGGAACACCCTGTATCCGCGCTTTCCGCCTCCGACGGGGACGACCGCTGCCAACCGTGAAAATTGAAAATTCACCAAGTTAATACTGGGCTCCTGGGCAACTAGGATCCCTGAAAAATCGAGATCACCTTTAGGAACACTCTGTATCTACACACTCTCCTTTATTCCGAATGACTGCTGCCAACCGCGCAAATTGAGAAGTCACTGTAACTAAAGCGTGCCTCTCTTGGCAGCAAGCATCCAAGAATCTTCTGGATCAGTTTTCGGAACACGCTGTATCATCGCTTCCTTTCTCGATCAGTGCTGACAGATGTCAACCGTGCAAATTGGGAATTCCCCGATCACAAACTGCCGCCCCTATTCGAACAAAGCATGGATGAGCCGTGCACTGCAGGTCTTTGGAACACCCTGTATCCGCGCTTTCCGCCTCCGACGGGGACGACCGCTGCCAACCGTGAAAATTGAAAATTCACCAAGTTGATACTGGGCTCCTTAGCAACAAGGATCCCTGAAAAATCGAGATCACCTTTAGGAACACTCCGTATCTACACACTCTCCTTTATTCCGAATGACTGCTGCCAACCGCGCAAATTGAGAAGTCACTGTAACTAAAGCGTGCTTCTCTTCGCTGCAAGCATCAAAGAATCTTCTGGTTCAGTTTTCGGAACACGCTGCATCATCATCGCTTCCTTTCACGATCAGTGCTGACCGATGCCAACCGTGTATAATGGGAATTCCCCGATCACAAACTGCCGCCCCCATTCGAACAAAGCATCGATGAGCCGTGCAGGTCGGTTATTTGGAACACCCTGTATCCGCGCTTTCCGCCGCCGACGAGGACGACCGCTGCCAACCGTGGAAATTGAAATTTCACCAAGTTGATACTGGGCTCCTTAGGAAGAAGGATCCGTGGAAGATTGGGATCACTTTTAGGAACACGCTGTATCTACGCACTCTCCTTTTTTCGGGATGACTGCTGCCGGGATGACAACAAGGATCCCTGGAAAATCGAGAATACCTTCAGGAACACTTTGTATCTACACACTCTCCTTTATTCCGAATTACTGCTGCTAACCGCGCAAATTGAGAAGTCACTGTAAGTATGCAGGTACCCGGTACCCTGCTTTGGTGTTTTTGGGTGTCCTAATATAACCCTTCTATTGAAGGATGCCGGGTAGATTTTGCGAAACATTTTAGGTTTATACTCTCATATTTTTAAGTTAAAACGCTGATTATAGGCCATTATTACGCCCAACAGTCATTTTGGTGGCAATATGAAGTATATATCAATTTAATCACGCATGATTAACGCAAAAATGAAAGAATATCGATAGTGAGTATAGGAAGGGGTAACTAGCACCTTATAGTCCCTTAAGTTTATAGGCCCTTGTAGAGTTCGTTCTTGCACCCATCGATCCAGAGGCCTGACTTAACTTGGAAAAAAAAGGTTTTTCGACCTCAAGCCGTTACCTATCTATATTCTATTGCTACCACAGCCTAGTCCAGGGTACGTAGAATCCGAAAAGCAGATGGGCGTAATAACGACATATACGCCTATAGGCTGTTCTAGGTGCGGTGTCCTCACTTGTAATCTTCCATCACATTCTTACGGCGCAATGATACAACTATTTGAACTCTCCGGAATGCGTGAGGTATCACGCCGCATTTGAAGGCGTTTTCAAAAGAGCCAAGTTCCGAAACCCGGATTATCGTTCTGCATTCTTCATATTCTTTTGTTATATTCGTACCACTTGTTTATTTTTAATCCTCGTATAAAAACCACCCATTTGCTAAATACAATTCTAGCTGGAGCGCAATTCAGCTATGCATTCACCACTGCAAAAATGTCAAAGGAAATCGACAAACCCAGCGTGCATGGAGGCTATTTCCATTTTAATCTTCCGTCGCATTCGTAAGGCGCAATGATACAACTATTTGAACTCTTCGGAATGCGTGTGGTATCACGCCGCATTTGAAGGCGTTTTCAAAAGAGCCAAGTTTCGATACCCGATTGTCGTTTTGCAATGTTCTTATTATTATGTTTGATTTCCTACCATTTGTTTTTTTTCAATCATCCTATAAAAACTACTCATTTGGTGAATAAACTGCTGGCTGGAGCGCATTTTAGCTATGCAGTCACCACTGCAAAAATGCCAAAGGAAATTGACAAGCCCAGCGTGTATGGAGGCTATTTCAATTGTAATCTTCCGTCACATTTCTAAGGCGCAATGATACAACTATTTGAACTCTCCGGAATGCGTGAGGTATCACGCCGCATTTGAAGGCGTTTTCAAAACAGCCAAGTGTCGATATCTGGTTTGTAGTTTCGCAAGAAATTGGAGCACAAAATCAATAGAATGACTGATTTTACGAGCTAATGCAACTCAATAAATTTGTGTTTTATTTGACGGAAGCGTTAGAAAACAGTTCGATCAGAAATTTAAATCAACCTACGGTCCATTATATAGTTCATATTCTTTTGGTTTGTTCCGTACCCATTGTTTATTATTAATCCTCGTATAAAAATTACCCATTTGCTAAATACAATTCTAGCTGAAGCGCACTTCAGCTATGCATTCATCACTGCAAAAATGTCAAAGGAATGCTCATATTTCTATCCATTATGAAAAAAATATGGTATTACCGTTACCTTCTGACACCAATGAAAAATTCCAGTTTTTTATGATTCCAAGAAACAATTTCGAGCCGATGATTTAAAATATTTATATAAAGATATCAATGTACAAGAATTTTTTTTTTATTTTGGAAATACTATCATTCACTACTAATCATTCGTGGTTTGATTTTTTGGTAGGAAAACTGAGTGTAATATTTGAGCTTAAAGTCACTCATAACTCATTTTTCGTGAATATACGACTTGATTTCCTCATCTTAAACTCAGTTCAATTGCGGAAAATAAGTTTATGGTTTTTTTGGTGAGAAAATAACTTTAAAATAAACTTTTGACTCTTTTTACTCACCTAATTCTTCCTCCGGACCACGCATTAACCACAGATCAGAGGAGGCAAGAAGCCCATGCTGGAAGTAGACGGGTGGATACATTGTGTATGGGTTTGCAATTCGATGCACTCCCAAGATATACCCGTCTTCTGTTGTGACGTAGTGAGTCTCTGCTTTGAACCCCCAGTGCTCGATGAGTTTGTCCTGGAATGCGGAAAAATGTACAAGGTGATCCAATAATCCCGCACCACTTCCTTAACCCAGAATGGACCACTAGACAAGGTACAAATATCAGCACAGATTGCAATACGTAGTAAGTACATAATGTAAATATTGCTATTCAACTGAGTGTTGTGTATGTTGCCTAGCACCTATTTGAAGGGGCCCCATTTACTGACACTTATTGCAATATATCGATGGTGTAAGTCGGCAATCACATAACTCGGAAAACGCGATTTTTCAGGAGAGGGGAAAAAACTCTCTACATTCCTCATCTTTGAAGGTAGAGGAGAAATAATTCTTAGAGACAGCAAGGATAAGATGCTTCATAAGACTCTATTATCATTTTGAATAATATTCGCGTCTGTAAGGAGAAATGACCGAAAAACCGAGTTATGTGTTTGTGGAACTGAGGTCCAACACCAAATTTCGAGATACGTGGTTGGCGAATTACTGAGTCAAACCTATTCTTTGCCGATGTTTACTGAATAAAGACCAAATAAGACTCCTCTCACTTTAAAAGTAACCTAAAGTTCCTTTTAACAAACTTTAATTGGTTGCGAATCTTTAGAATGACACCGGAAAACAATTCGACGGCGCGGCGTACCTAAGTCGGCAATCACATAACTCGGTTTACGACGTCGCAGAGGCAGACTTCCTGTCATATTTCATTTTTTAAACGGAGAACTACTCAACGGCAATTCTTTAAAACTGCCGTGAGTTTTCTTCTCTATGCGAAGAAAAGTCTGTATAAACTGCAAGGAATGATGTCAAATGTGTCGAGGTTCTCCTTTAAATTTTCAGACACCGTGAACGAGATAATTATGTGATTGCGGACTTACGCCGTCGAATTACGAATTAAAATGAAATGAAGATAAAAATAAGCGGACGATTACTCAGTTATCCGTCGGATTAGATGTTTAATGTTAAAACAATGACAATGTTTTTGTTGTTTGAAGATTCCGTGACGTACTAACTTTTAATTTTCCCTCCTAAAGTGTTCACGATTCTTCCCGGGAGAGCGCGCGTTGTGTAAAAATGCGGCGCGTCGCGGTTATGTGTTATTGGAATTAACGCCGAGATATGTGTTTTGAGTTCTACGTTTTTAGGTGACTTCCAGATTTTTTGGACTGAAATATTTGACAGCAGGTAAAGGGCATCTACTACACTTCATTTCTGCAGCTAACTCAAAACCGCCAAAAATCGAGTTATGTGATTTCCGACTTACACCGTTGATATATCAGATTGTGGTCAGTGGTCCATTCTTGTTTTCTTTAAGGATGCTCCCCTTAAAATTTTGGCAGTTCCCAAAAGCAGTTCCTTTTGACCTAGGTGCACTCACAAATTTCAAGTCTGTATCTCACTTTGTACAGAAGTTACGAGGGTGATGCGTGCTTGAGGTGCGCGACTTGTTGATCACCCTGTAGAATAATGTGCGTTGCAAGGGGCAAGTGAGAGTAGACTGACGTCATTCGATATAATATCGAACTCTTGGTTCAAACCAAAACAAACTAACATAGCCTCATGTGCAAATTCGTCATAAGTAATCGTGTCAATTTATTTAAATTTAGTCATTGACCGGTCATACATCGATTGGACTGAGTTAAGCAGAAAGGAACCAACCCACATTTTAGAAAAAAATTGAGTTATGAGTGGTTTTGAACTCAACCACTGCTCTACTATCTATCGCCAAAAACTCAAAGTTTTTGATGGAGCAAATTTTGCAGAAATTGAACTTGAAGTTTATCTTTTACATTGAGTCTTATGCAGGAGCCAAACTTTAAACCTCTTTTTCTCGGTTCGATCCCGATGTGGCTTAGTTCCTTTCCGTTTAACTCCGTCCAATTAAGGACTCATTGAACACGAGAATTTTTGATTGTAAGAAACATTTGAACGCCAATTACCACCATGTTGCAAAAGGCACGAATGGGCGCGAATCAGAAACAAGGTTCTGTGTTTGTTTACATTTGAACCAAGGGTTCGATATTATATCAAATGACGAAGCCACTAAATCAGCATTGAGAAGAGAGATAAAAAGAACCCCCAGCGCTTTAGAAAGGCGGAGGGCGTAAAGAAAAGATTCCTAGTTACGCCACTGGTACATAAATAATGGATAGATGGTTCACAAATTACCTCGGAGAGCTTAAAAAGTGTTACCGGAATTGAAAACAAGTAACTAACGGTTGGCAGGTAGGCGAGAGGGTAGGTAGCTCCTAGTCCTAATTCTTCTAATTGTTGCCGGACTCCCAGAGCACTGGCTACCATGCTGTCGAGAGATGGGAAGGTGTAGGAAAAAGGCCAGGAAGCTCTTGCGTCTAAACATCCCAATGTGAGTGTCGTCAGAATGAATGTTAGTTCAACTTTTTCCCTCATGCTTGATCACACAAGCAAACTTTCGCTCCGATTAAAATTAACGCCAAAATAAAAATGTAAACACTCAAATTTTAAAAGACACACTACTGGCGTTTCGATGTTTCAAAACAAATAAATGATCACGTCTGCAACCAGGAAAGTTAAAGAAAATTACAGAGTAAATGGGATTTCGCACTATCTGTGTATCTCTAAAATCAGAACTGAAAATTTCACGTATCTATCGATGAAAATAGCAGAACCTCAGAGCATCAATTTTACAATTGGATCGCGTTAAGCAGAAAGGAACCAAGCCACATCAGCTATTGCAAAAATTGAATCGGGCAATTTAATTTTTTACATGAAAACGGTTGTGCGGATTTTTGTGCAAATTTCAGTGAATTTTCTGCATAGTACGAAACAAATACCTCAAAATTTTCAAAAGAATCAACAAAAACGCTTTTCTGTAAAAAAATGAATTTCCCATTTAAATTTGGCAAAAGATGATGTGGCTTGGTTCTTTTCTGTTAAACGCGGTTCAATTTAGCCCTCATAATTGGTGGAAAATTCTCATCATTTTTGATGCTGAAAAGCAATTATTCAATTGCTCAGAATTCACACTTCCATGTTCATAAGGCATAAAGAGGAATGATTCACCACACATGAATGGTGAAACAGCCAAACAACAGATCTCATTTGCAGTGTTTGAAATTTGCTCTCATATTTTCTCATTTATTTTTTTTTTCAAGAGAGCGAATACCTCTAGAACTTTTAGGGCTACATTTTTCCGAGCTGTTATGTAGTAAATATCAGTCAAAAACCGAGTTGATAGCGTGATGTTTTTGAAGTCTTTGATGAAAAATAAACCCAAAATTTTGGAGATTGGAGGACATTTGTTCTTCAAACCTTTTTTGAGTTTGTAGGAAAACAACCTATTTTAAAAGTTCAAAAATTAAACTTGTGGCAACTGTGCGTTGCCCGCCTATTAACAGTCGGGGCTGCGTATTCAAGAAACATCTGAGTAAACTGAAGACAAAATGATTCAAAGCTTTCAGATAACATTGCGATCCTCATTAAAATACTCATTAAAATACCGGAACACATATCAATTCATCTTCAAAGTCGTGTGTGTGTCACCGAGGTTACAAGTTAATCTCGAAAACATTTCTTCGCATTTTTCACCGCCAGGAAAAAAATAGTGCAAATGTTTGTAAGATTCCTAATTTTCTTCCTCGAGGATAAATGTCTGTTAAATTTTGGTAGCATGTCAGGCATCATCATTCTTGATTTTATTTCTGATACTCGCTCTGTTATTTTATTCTATAACAATTTCTGAAGTCATTACTGTTCTAATGTTGACCAATCCGTCCCATAAATATGCAGGTCTCCAAGCAAATCATGGGTGAATATAAAATTCTTAAACATCTGCCCGTAACAGCCTCTGCACGAACTTTCCTTGAAAATTATTATGCATTTATTGTTGCGTGTCAATCTTTGAGCTGAGATTTTTCTGTGCTGATAAATCCGACTGTTGGAAAAGTTCCTTTTCCGAAACTTTTTTGCGACGACCTAACTTATTTAGGTGCCAACGCAAGCGCTAGATTTTACGATAAATTTTTGGTGCATTGATGATAAAAGGATGCCCAAGGCGAGGAAGGGGGGGGGGGTAATTTTATACTCCTCCCAGGTCCCTCTCATTGGAGCATTATTCTAACTCGCGACGCGCATTGTTGTAAGGGGAACCCATCCGAGGCGCCTTCAATTATTCGTATACGCAATACATGCAGTCCCCGAATATGAATAGTTGCATTCAAACTTGATCAGTGATGCCGCCACCAATCGAGGGCATCTTGTTCCGATATACGTTCTAATCATTCACAAGGCACGCAATCGCTCCTTTCAAAGCTTATAACGGCGTGGCGTAAGTCCGCAATTGCATATCTCGTTTGCGGTGTCTGAAAATCTCCGCCTCTTTGTTATTTTTCAAAGGAGAACAAATTGGCATCATTCCTTGAAGTTTTTGCAGAATTTTCTCCGCACAGAGAATAAAAATCACGTCAGTTTTAAAGAAATGCCGCTGAGTAGTTTCCCGTTTAAACAATAAAGTATGAAAGGAAGTATGCGCAGTCGCAAACCGATTGATGTGATTGCCGACTTACACCGTTAATTTATATGATTTTTATCCTCATCAATTTAACTGAGAATAAACCATGCATTTCTCGGTAGAAACATTTCAAAATCAAGAGTTGAAAAACGCTGACTCCGCGAGTTTAAAAATTAGAGCCTAACGGAGCGAAGCGGCGCGGCGGCCGGCGTGCTACCGGCGCTAAACGCGCTTTGGCGCCTTCAAACCTAAAGGGATACTTCACGCATTGCGCAATGCTTGAAGTATCCCCTTAGGTTTGTAGGCGCCAAAGCGCGTTCCTCGCTGGCAACGCGCCGCGCCGTGCCACGGCGCTTCAAGCAACTATTTCACAACAGAGGTGTTGCACAGTATCATACGAAATTGAAGGAGCTCCAACATATGAAGAATCACAGGCATCGTTTACGAGTACAGATCTTTCCTCGCAAAATAAATCAACTACGGCACAAAAAGAGAGTGGTAGTCTTTAAAATAGAACTTTACACGCTTCGTCGGCACCGATACGAATTGCATCAAAATTACGCTAAAAGAGGTATTCTTCGTCACCTTTCAAATTTTAATTGGACTGTATTTTGAAATTCGGAAATACAATATCTAGCTCAGTTTAGAAATGACGTATGTGCCATTAGCTTCCCTACACAAATGCGTGTTCTTACGGATGGGTTAGAAATTGTAGTTCCTACTTGCAAAATGCAGTCCAAATAATGCACAAATTGTGTGCTAAAACTGATTATAATTCGATCGGGGAACTGCTATTTTTAAAAACTTGGACGCCTCTGGAAAAATCCCCCCCCCCCCCCCCCCCNNNCCCCCCCCCCCTCTCAACTCACTCTGGATCCGCCACTGAGTTCAGCCACGCAAATATGCGATTTTTGCTCAGCGCGACTATTTCTTCCCGTTTAAAAGCGAACACACGGCGATTAATCGCCGCGATTGAAAGACGAAAGCCAATGGAGAGCCTGGATTTCGATTCATTGACGTCGATGTATCGAAATCAAGGCTCTCCATTGGCTTTTGTCTTTCAATCGCGGCGATTAATCGCCGTGTGTATCTAGGCCTTAACAGAAGGCGCGTCTTGAAACATCTCACTTGNGCGACTATTTCTTCCCGTTTAAAAGCGAACACACGGCGATTAATCGCCGTGTGTATCTAGGCCTTAACAGAAGGCGCGTCTTGAAACATCTCACTTGCATCCGGAGTTCTCGAGGATTGGGTCTCGTAGAGAGGCTTATCAAGCGATATTAATGGGAGCTTGATCGAGAGTAGATGAGGAAATTAGGCCTAACTCGATTTAATGCAATTTAATATCCACTCAGCTCCAGGACCGTCCCGGAAATCCTCGTTGCCTTGTTCTCGCCCCCAAACATAGAGTGAGCCTCGCAATTTACAGTGTGGTGAATCAAAACCTGATGCACAGTAGAAATTTAGGAATGGGATGGGGGAGATGTAGTCATAAGAAAGAGTGGCTGAAATCATCAGCCTGTTGCACCAAAAAGGTATAGCCGACTGACAGTAAGTTGGCTGTAAGAGAGTAAAATTCCACAGAAATCGAGAAAAGATGCACAGAAATGCATATGATCTGCTCTTTTTCGCACCATATATATGCCTTCTCTCTTTCACGCTGTGTGAAATTCACCATATTTGCGGGCACTTGTTTCCTCACAAAGTGCGTTTGATTCTCTCGTCTAGTCCATCTTCTCTGACTTATTTAGAAAATACGAGGCAAAAACGTTCAATTGTTTTTTGAAAAATCATTTTTGCGGTAAATGGAGATTCACATGAGTAATTTTTCTTTATACATTGGTCTTATTTTGTGAAAGGATTGATTTAAATTTTATAATCAGGTCAATACGGCGGACAGCGCTACGAAAGCGTCTTATACATACATATATGTACGTAGATTGGCAGAGGAATTTTGTGTGTTATCAAGTTGCCTGTTCTTTTGGGCCCTGAACCCTCCATGAAACCAGGTCCACGTAACTTGGTCCATAATACTCTCGCTACACAGGTGCTCTAGCTAAAATTGTCTTATGAAAAATTGCTGTAAGCAATGGTGACAAGTTCTCCACTCTTGAGTTATTCGAAACGATGGTCGAATCTCTCGTGGACGGCACTGAAAAAAAAAACACATTGTATCTAGAGTCCAGACTCTTAAAAACATCGACAAGAAAAATTATTCTTGATTAGATCAGAATCTAGCTTAAATCAAGAACCAAAGCCTCTTAATTTAAGCGGATTTCGTTTCGATTCAAGCAAAAATCCGATTGAATCAAGAGTATTTAAATCAATGTTTTCAAGAGTCTGGACTCAAGATCCAATGTGTTTTTTCCAGTGGGTAACATTCTGTGAAAATCATGTCGATAGTGGCAAAACTAACGATAAATCTCACACTCTATCCTCAGGAATATAATATGTGCAAGGACCGAATAATCTAAGAAAGACAATGAAAGAACTATAGAAGAAGAAGAAAATAGTTATAAGCTCAAGGTCTTTGGTAGCATCAACGTTAATAAAGATCTATTGTAGGACTGGAATTAAAAGCTCTCAAACTGTCGGTCGGTGCATGCCATCAACTCGCACGGTTACCAAGGCCAACTAGCTGGACAATAACGAGCTGTTTAATAATAGGATATGAACGCAAGTGGGTGTATGCTGTATGACTGCACTATCTTATCGTGACTGGAAGAACATCGAACTTATCACTGCTCTAAGTGTCATACTGCTATCCTCGCCTAGTGAAGGTGTAACTTTGTGAGTTATCATTCGTCATTTTTGTTTAAAGGTGCAGCCCCGTGAACGTCATCCTGGTATTCTTCTCGAAGGTAGGCACGCCACTCTGCTCTTTCATTTATCTTTGGATTTTTCCGTTGCGTGCAGAAAATAATATAGTTACGTTTGACTGTTTAAATTTTTGTGTTTATCAATACGCAAGTAGCATTTTCAAATGGAGAAATCGTGATATTTTGAAATTTTGTTTGATATTTTGAAATCGCTAGGATCATCAGCGTCTGAGCGATTATCCTCAATCTTGTTGCAATTTTATCTCCATAAAATTGCGTCTGAAAAAATCGAAATTTTAACTCAATTTACCACGATATTTCGTTTGATAATATTGAGATAAATCGCCATGCACCAGTAAAATCGCGATTTTATTGGAAAATGCGAAGAAATAGCAATTTTGTACCTGATATTATTGCAATAAATCGATGTCGATAAAATCTCTATACATTTTCCGATCAAACCGCGCAACTTATCGCGATCACTGCTACCTGGGATGGTGACGAATATTACATGAGGCATTGGCTTCAATCCATTTTAATAATCTCGTATCGTGTATCGACCTCAAAATTCAAATTAAAGTACTTAAGGACTGACTAAGCTGTGCTCCTGACGAAAATACTCTTGCGGATTATAGCGTCATTCAACTTACTAACAAACTAACTAACTATCTATTTATTTGATTAACACCATGAAACACTTGAATAACTTTTAATACAAAGTTCCATTTATTGAGCAAATAAAAACATTTTTAAAATGATATTTACAGGTGACTAAATAGATTGGACGTTATATAAGCGCCTTGGGGATAGCTAAGTCTATTCAATCAGCACTGAATAATAAGAATACTGAATACTGATTGTGTTGCAGAATAAAGAATACAATTTTACGATTTCAGAAAAAGAAAAAACCGAGGGAGAATTTTTCATTTTATTTTACTTTCAATGTCTTACTTTCCCGTTAACAGTTCGAAATTAAAAAAAAATAATAATGATAAACTGAGAAATCAAACGTTACGAGAGGTTATAGGTAATGGAGCATCAGGGAAACTTTGGAAGCTTCTTTGCTCGGAAATCGTATGTACGATCAATTGAGCGTATTTATGCTTAAATGAACTATTTTGGCACGTAAACCCGATGCAAATAGTTGATTTAAGCCAAAAATACACCCATGTAAGACTTCTTTACAGCAGGAAACGAAAATTTAAATTACTATGTTTCTAGTGTGAAATGAGGGGATTGGAGGACAAGGCGCATGATTGCATATTTTGCTATTTCAAGACATACGTGTTTAAAGTTTTAAAATTACATGGAGCCTTGTGGTGGAAAGGCAGTTTAAAATCACTTTTTGATGCTTTAAAGTTGGATTTTAGTTGTGAATTTTTCACTAAATATACTTCCAAACTAGATTTAGTTGAGTGGATGAATATCTCATTTTTTTTTCGAAAACTGCACTTATGCGCCTTGTCTTCCAAGCCCCTCAAATGTAAAATTAATTTTTGGAGAGCGGGAACCACATACTTAAGACACGTGGTTGCTTCAAGAGCACGATTTTGGACGACTGAATTCTTATGGAATTTATTCTCACTGTAATACGCTTATTCAATTATTGTATATTAAGTAAAATATTTATTATATTATTCGCCATCCTCATGCGCTCATCAGTGAATGTTTTCATTTTAAATTCTAGCTATAAATCGTAATGGCTCCACTAAAGCTAACGTACTTCCCCATCAAGGGTCTTGCAGAACCGATCCGTTTCATCTTTGCTTACGCCAATGAGGAATTTATCGATGACAGAATCGACGCTAACAACTGGCCAACGATAAAACCAAGTAAGATTTTCTTCTTCTTTTTTTTCAATTTAAGAGTTATTGATCTTGTGTACATAGAAATTACACTATTTTTGCTATGCTATTTACATTGGTTTTTCTAGGTAGGAGGAAATGTAGGGACTACACAATGTTTGGTACATTCTAAGTATTATTTTAAGATGTATACAAATAATGATATAAAATGGGACAAGAAAAGGCGTGGACGAGGTTGAAAGCACACAATAATTTATAAAACACTTGTAAACATTTATAAGACACAATAAAGATATGAGTTAAAAAGTTTCGTATTATTATTTAAGTGAGATTGAGAAGTAGCTTTACTTTCATGGCCCACTACTCAATATTAGGAACCAAGCATACTGAAACACGTAATTTTATCAAAATTTCACTCGGAGACCATATTATTTTAAACACATTGAACATTTTCTGATTTAATTCATAAATGAGGCATTTAGGATCAGAAGGGCACAATTTCAATTTTTCCAACTTACGGAAAACCGCATATACGGTGACATTTTGTTGGCCTCAATTAATTTTTATTGAATACCTACATCATTCTTGAACTTAACCTGAAGTAGTTTAAGCCCAATTTGATGACAATGAAAACAAATCTTAAGCACCCAAGAAGCACAGATTGCAATAAGTGGCAATTATGTAATAAAAATATTTCAACTCCACTGAGTGTTGTGTTTGTTGCCTAGCTCCTATTTGAAGGGGTCCCATTCATTGAAACTTATTGTAATACAATTGAAATGAGATGCAAATTGTCATTGCATTGCATATCGCCTATCTTTCTGATACATGGAGCTCGTTTTGTTGATTGTTTAAAATCGGCATAAATCGACTAAATGATGTCAAAATATTCCAATTTAATGGGAGAAAATACATTTTATTGAAATCAAATCGTAATTTAATTTCAATATTTTCGTTGCACTGTGATACTTGGACAATCATTTGTGCTCATTAATTGGCGCAAGATAAAGCCCATAAATGCTTTACACTTTATATAACCTTTTCGTTTTATTCATTTACTTCATCAGCAACACCTTTCGGGAAGCTGCCCGTTTTGGACATCGACGGAAAAGTTGTGACTCAAGCCTCTCCTATTTGCCGTTACTATGCCAAAAAATGTGGTCTCAATGGCAAAGATGACTGGGAAGACTTGCTGATCGACGCCACAGTGGGTACTTTTGATGATATGCGAAAAGGTAAGCTTCAATCCTAAATCCCTCAAGCTTAAATCCAATTTTATTTATGAGGTGAAAGTATAGAATACATAGAGTCGTAATGTAAGTGGGAGAGCTGGGGCCATGTTCCGCTCGACGAGTTCCCAGCCCGGTGTGCGCGGTCACTTTTTCGATACATATTCGATCCAAAATAGCGGTGTAGAATACGGCCGGGTCCCCAAGCATCGGAAACAATCGATTATGTATCGAAAAAGAGACCCGGCGCCGCACAGGAATTTCGGAATTCGGGACCTGGAAAATGCTTAAGTGTGGCGCCAGCTATCCCACTTGCATTACGACTCTATGTACTCTATGGGTGAAAGCAATGCATAGTAAGGTCGACCTTTGGCAGAGGCAGATCCAGCAATTTGGCAACACAAGACTCCCTCCATTTAAACCTATGTTAAATAATCGATTCTTATCGGAGCACCGAGCTCCTTTCAGAATCGATACATTTCCGTAGGTTTAAATGGAGAAAAACAATGTTGCAAATTTTTCTGTTTTTGCCAATGATCTTTGGTCACAATGAGGAAACCTGCAGCAAGAAGAGATATAAATTTTTAATTTTTGTGACAAAAGCCTAACTGCATATACAATCTCTTTGCGGAACTTGCAATCCTTATTGAAAAACTTACCGTGCGGAAGATTCTTAGAGAGTATCATATTTCATTTAAATTGAAGCAGAGCTCTCTCTGCACTATTTATATTTATAATAATTTAATATAAATTTTTTCCTCAGCAATTGCAAACTACTATTATGCTCCTGATGAGGAATCTAAAAGGAGGAAGTACGACCCATTGATCAAAGACACGATTCCGTTCTACATGGAGCGACTGGAAAAGCAAGTGAAAGAAAACGGAGGTTATTTTGTGAACGGGAGGGTAAGTGCTCGCTTGTGGTTAAGCTTACCTCACTGAATTAAAAAATCTCGGTGTATTTACTAAGAAAAAGGTAAAATTACCAATAATTCAGGGTTCTATTTGATCCCCGTTTTTTCTTGGTAAAATTACCATGTATGGAATTGGTAATTTTACCGAGAAATCTCGGTAAAATTATTGAACTTTCTCGATAATTTTACTGGACCTTGGTAGAAACGCCAATATTTTTTATCGACTGTGGTAGAATTACCGAGATAAAATGGCACAGTTACCGGGAATTGAGTACCAATGGGCCTGTTGCAAACTTTTGCTAGAGCAAAAGTAAGAGTTGTTTCTTATAGATGATACCTCAAAAATCACGATGAGCGCATCGGCAAAGTCTGAAATGCACTCATAACTTCACAATCTGCGTAAGAAATTTACGGTTTTTTGAGCTTCCCGCTTCAAAAACGATACTACGGCACAGGTGAACATTTTGTTAGAGGAGTGGTTCCATTGGCGGCAATACTCATCATGGCCGACGCCAATCCGCCAAAACACGTGTGATGGGACGAGATGACACCTGAACAGGATTAAATCAGATAACAATCGGCATGTTTACGTTCATATTTTCCTCGCCCGCCTTGATTGACCTTGAACTCCTCGAATTACGCAAGGAACTGCGCAAGCGTCGGCCATGATGAATATTGCCGACGATGGAGCGACTCCTCTAATAGAATGTTCACCTGTGCAGTAGTATCGTTTTTGAAGCGGGAAGCTCAAAAAAACGCAAATTTCTTACGCAGATTGTGAATTTATGAGTGCATTTCAGACTTTGCCGATACGCCCATCGTGATTTTTGAGGCATAGTCTATAAGAAACAACTCTTACTTTTTCTCTAGCAAAAGTTTGCAACAGGCCCATTAAAGTGGTATTCTTACCTGAAAAAAACAGTAAAAATACCGGTTTTTAGGTAAGCTTACCAGTCTGTCTTGGTAAAATTACCAATAATTGGTAAAAAAAGTGAGATGGTAAAGGTACCAACGGACCTTGGTAAAACGCCGAGAATTTTTTTTTAGTGCTGTTCGCCGGGAATTGACTGAACGTTTAGATTAATTCCTTAAAAAGGTACCTCACCTTCGAAGCCAGTAAACTAAAATAACGAACAGTATACAGATAAATTGTATTCGTTGAAATGATACCTCATCTTCAAAATATTATAAATGGTAAACAATTCCAAATCCTTTCTCCGATTCTTGAAAGCATTCTTCCGTTAAGGCTTCCTTAAGTTCATTCTCCTAAGATAGTATAAATTGAAAAAAGAACCGCAAAACTTAGTAATGTCGCCCTACTATGACTCCTCATCAAAGCAAGAAAGAAAGGCATTATTTTAGAGAAGGATACGAAACGTTAGGCCGTTGAGCCACAGAGTATCCTGTTCGAAATATAATGTCTTCAAAACATATTTTTTATACATTTTACGTACTTCTCTTTTCCTTTGCCCAAATAATTTTATTATAAAAATAATTGAATTATGTATTATAGATCTGAAAATCGCTAAAAATAATTTCTTCATTTGGGGAGAACATAGAACAACCCGGAACCTCTGAATTTGTTATTTATACCACACGGGTGCATGGGAGCGTATAAGCGGTCAACTCCTACACTTCTTTTTATTTGCCTATATTATTTGTTTTCCAAGTTTCGCAGTTTTATGTCTTGTATAGCATGTACAGCTAGGAAAGGATGAATTAAGCAAGCGGTCAAATTAACGTTTTAATTTGAGTACGTTTCATTTAAAAACCTAGGGGTCACAAAATCCCCGCGTGCGTCTTATCCGCGGTGAAGATGGATGAAATCTCAAAAATTGATTGAGATGAATTTTATTTGCAATTTTAAATAAATTTTGAGACAAGAAGGTTGTCAAACATCTCTAAGTTAAGGAAATTTTGTGGAACCTGCTAGAATTCCAGTGTAAGTTCGGCCAATTTACGATGATCAACTGTCAAAAAAATGCATTCTCGAAAGAGAGTATACTTAGATTTTGCTATTCTTCTACTGAATAATCTCTCTTTTATATTATTTTCAGTTGACCTGGGCGGACTTATGGGTCGTTTCTTTGTCGTCGTCACTGGACATTGTGAACTATTATACGAAACTTACCGTGGAGGAAAAACACCCTCATATCAAGGCTTTAAGGGACAAAGTGCAGGCCATTCCAGCGATCAAAGCGTGGATTGCAAAGAGGCCGAAAACCGACTGGTGATTGTAGTTTTAGCATTAAAATGAGCCGTTCTCAACCTGGTCAAGTTTCAGAGGTTTATTTCTTGTTAAAATACTTTCGAGATTATCGAAGCATCTTACGGAACCTCTCCTTTCCCCTTCATTATTTTATTTGCAACTCAAGTTATTCAATTCCATTTTTAATATCTCTGCAATTACAGTTTACTCGTATGTATAATTTCAACGGAAAGTCATACATTAAGGTGTTCACTATGCCAACATTTTAGGCGATATCTTCATTTTGTTGTAAATATTAACATGAGCTCAAACTTTCGGTTGGATTCAGTCATGCTCCCCTATAGCGTGTTTTTTCATTTGATTTCCCATTTTTTCTCTTTAATTTTCTCTCGGTGTCAATTATTTCGATATACGTTCGTTTCACAATAAAACTCATTTCAACAATCACCATTTGTAATCAGATGCACTGCAATTCCTTTTGACAAAGTCAATCTTTTTCTTAAATTCGCAAGTGAGGTTTTTTCCAGGGACCAATCTCATGAAATGCGTACCAACATTGACACAGTTATAGAGTGGCGGGGGTAAAAATCTCCGACCGCCTCGACGCACAGCGGGTCGGGTCAATAGGAGAGGTCGGACAAAGTATGGAAACTTTAAAAGCTTAAAACTCCGTTCATAAAAAGTTTTGAGGTTTTAAAAGTGGCTCCATTGGTTTCCCCGTAAAATTTTCTTCCGGATGCATCCTTTAAAAATTGAAATGAGGCAAAATAAACTTCAAAATTTGCGGTTTTAGTCAAAAATTTCATGACTGACCTCTCAGATTGACTGGATCCACTGTGCGGCGTGGCTTGTCCTGATTTGGAATGCCGCATCGGCAAGTCATCAAGCAGATTGAAATTAGAGGTGACTGACCTCTTTTGACATGCGGCGGAAATCGGTCAGTGTGTCATTGTGTCTGAACAACATCTTCGTTTTCAAGGGCTCATGACTTGCCGATCCATGATTTGTTAAATTATGTAAGTCGGTCAGCGTATCGATGCAGGTATGACTACTTTCAATGGAGTTAAATTAAAAATAGAGTGATGTGCGGTCGTCAAAACGACTTAATTCATCTGTGTATCTGTGTAACAGCCATTTGTAAATATAATTTATTGCCAAATTTGGCTGGCTAAGCTGCCTAGAAAATATTAATTGATTTTAAAAAAAAAAAAACCAACCTACACGCCAAAAATAAATTAAACAAGTAAAATTTCAAACTATATGGAGATGAGCTATAATGGTCGAAACGGTTGCTTTGTTTCTAGTAAGTTTTTGATTATTTGTCATCTCCATTTACTTTGAAATATTACTTGTTTATTTATTTTTGGCTTGTAGCTCGATTTTTTTTAATCAATTACCATGAGCCATTTGTAACTTGTTGATCAAAAGGACTCTTTCCACACCACCTTAGAGAAACCCTCTTCAAAATAATCGATTACTCGTCACCAAAACCCAGTTGACTACAATTAATTTATCTTTGCTTTGATGACGGTTAACTCATCATTTTGAACAGGGAAAGACCGACGCGATAATTGATTAGGGCACATCCTGTTTTCGGCTGTGTTGCTCACGTAGCCCTTGAAGCACCACTACAAATGTCACGAACGGAAAGAACACAAAATGAAAATAGAGCTAATTGAAAGACGGCGCAGTCTGCGCCGTCAACAACTATTCGTGCTTGATGGATGTCTGTGTTGCATTTGCAAAATTGAAGGCGCGATGGCGCGAGCTGTGAATTCGCGATGTTCCGCAGCTCCGCTTTAGACTGCCAATGAGGTGTCGAGAGATAAGTTAAGAAACGAGGCTCGATTATTACGGCTCTCCTATTTAAGGCTGTGTTGCTCATACAGTCTTCAAAGCACCGCTAAAATTACAAATAAGACAAGCTGAAACAAACACAGTATGGAAATAGAGCAAAGTAAAAGGAGGCGCATTGATGATGGCGCAAAGATACAACTATTCGTACATGATGGATGTCCGCGTTGCATCTGAAAAATTGAAGGCGCGCTGGCGCTATGCGTGAACTCGCAATGCTCCTTTCTATGCTGCCAGTGAGGTGTCGCTCCGATTCGAGAGAAAAATGTAAAATGCCCGATTTCGTCTCGACTTTGTTGTTCCACAATTTCGTCTTCTCTTTTCAATTTGAGCTTTGATTCTTTTTTTAATGCACAAATACGTCTGTATTTGTATACGTCTGTACGGCTCGTATGTACCGCGGTCCCTCACAACTCGCGTGGCTAGTTTTTTTTAAACAAGTCTCGTGTCAATTTGACCGGGATTCAGCATGTGAGGGTTAATGAAAATATCCTTAAAATATGACAGCACCTTGATCTCCAAAAACTCTGGATTCACGAGGGGAGCCAAAAGAAGCCATACACAATCAGTCAGTGAATTTCAATAAAATTAGGTTATGTTTAATCTTGCAAAATTAGGCTTCGACTGTTCAGTGATGTCCCAAATGACGTCTCGCTCTCTGGATAGGACTTAATGTAGGGGAAAATAGTTACCACACATGGCTTTCCACGAGAAATACTTTACTTCAGAAAAACTTAAAATTGAGTTCTTGACACTACAGTTTGTATATAGGTGACAAAAAATGCTCAAAGATTTTTAATCAAACCTTAGTCATGGAAGTTTTGATGGTGGATGGTGACCATCAGTCATCAGCATGTCTACTTTGATCGGAATTGGTTCGGAATTTGATCGTCTATCCAGGGTTAAAGATGCATTTAACAGGATGGCATCTGTGCATCATAAATTTTCGCATCACACCGCACCACAATTCAAAACTATGACTACATTATTAAATCCCGAAACTTGGGCGCAAAATCCTCGATCAATCATTTTCGCCTTTCAGGTGTTGAAAGCTCACCGATAAGTTTCCCGCCAGTCGAGGTCAGATGATCGATTTTAGACAAACTTAATTCAGATATCTTGATTTGTCAAAATCAACTCGGTAAAAATTAGCGCACGGTGTGGCAAAAGTTTCCAATTAGATGTGCGCTCCGAACCACTGGAGGTGCAGGTTTTCTGGGTAATCAATCTTGCGCCATCCGTTAGGTAAGTCGTTGCGAGAGTTGGGATGGTGTGTAACTTTTGAGACGGAAACCCCGGTTGTGCCTTGATAATCCTCGTTTTAGCAAGCAAGTTTACTCTCTCGAACTTTCGACGAGGAATTACAACTGACTTTACAATGTTACTGAGGTTGCGTATATTTTGTACGTTTACGGTGAAGTGAGTGAAAGCAGATCAATATATTTGTATTTGATAAAGTCGAGCCAAACCCTGGTAAAAATTGGCGATAGGAGCTGCGTTTCAAAATACCATAGGAGTTCTTATAGCCGACTAAAGATGGCTGTTGAAAATCATATAGCTGACTGTAGAAAAAAAGCTATAAAAAAGTATACAGTCGGGCTATAGTTCCTATCGCCGGGCTTTACACTTTATCGCCATCGGCTAAAAGAGGCTATAAGAAATTGTGTAGAAATTCGTGTGCTTTGGAAATCATTAAGTTTGATACGGAGCTACCTTAATATTTACATAACACACATTATATTTTCCTTTAAAACATATATTTTTCATAAATTAAAATGAGAATAGTCCATATAGAGTGAGCAAACATTTCAAAATCATGAGTTGAAAAACGCTGACTCCGCCAGATTAAATATTAGAGCCTAACACAAAGCGGAGTGGCGACGCTCTGGCGCCTACAAACCTAACAGGGATACTTCACGCATTGCGCAATGCGTGAAGTATCCCTGTTAGGTTTGTAGGCACCAATGCGCATTTCGCGCTCTCTGCCTGCCCGCTTCGCCGCAGCTTGCCACGGTGTCTGAAGCAACTATTTCACACCAGAGGTATTGTATCAGGTATATCACTTTGTTTTGGTTTGTTGAATTTCGAAAGAGAATTCTTCAGTCTCGTGACAACAGTAATGCGATTTCAAAACTTGATAAAAATTACAATTAGCAAGTAGCTGAAAACATGGAAATAAGCTATGCGATGATTCGCATCTCGTTCTAGCACAAAGTATGGCGTCCATCGAATCATCTTAAGGTAAAAACTTATACTGTTCTGTAAAGCGAGAAACCCTATCTTTAGAAAGAAAGATAGTTTTTTAATTTTCGATTCTTATTACTAACATTTTTAAGAAAACTGTGTTCAAAATGTTAAATAATTTCGTAATTCAAATGGACGTATTTCTGCCGAACGGAACTATGTGCATTATGTCGTGAGCCCTGTTATGCGTGTATTCTTATGGGTCTCAGGGCTCGTGTCTCACTGCACAGGGTTCCGTTTTGCAGAAATACGTCCAAATATATGAAATCTGGTATCAAATATTAACCTAAATCAGCAGAGAGGCTGAAACGAGTTATACTGAAGTGGAATAAAGAGGGAGTTAGAAGTTTTTCTCATCTACGAGACTCAATTCTTTAAAGTTAACTTTAAGCTTATGTTTCAGACGTCTACTGAATTTGTTTCTGGGTTGTAATTTTTTGGCAAAAGGCGTGTTATTACCAGCAGAGCTGAAAATCACGAATTCGGTGCGTGCCCGTTAGTATACCGCCTTTGCGATCGTTTTGATCTCCCACTCGATACAGTGTATCGAGTGCTTGAGTTCCTTGGAAGGTGATTGGCGGACTCGTTCTGAATCTTCGAAGCAAAAAGTTACGAATGATTCAATCTTTTAATCTCTTTTCCTCGAAATTATGGCTATCTGGCCATATTTTTTTTATATTATCTACCTACTATTTTGATGAAGTTATAGTTGATTGAAGGCTTGGTTTCATAATTTCGGTATTGTTGACCTCCTCACCTATCATCAGTATATGAGGACTTATCTGTATCAATGGCGGATAAGAAAACTTACCTTTTCGAAACACATTCAAAAAACTGTTTTGAAAATTTTGAGAAAATACTTGAGATGTGATCTCGAGATCTGTAAATTATGCCAGAGCCAAATATATTAAATTTTTGTGAAAACAAAACAGTTTTTAAGCGTGTTTCTAAAAGGTAATTTTTCACATCCGCCATTGTTACATATAAGGCCTCATATGCATAGGTAAGACGGAATGAAAGAATTGAAAAATAACAAATTATGAGAAAACTTTTTTTACTTTTTTTAAAATGGAAGTATATATTTATACTTATGTAAAAACGACAATAAAACTCGACAGGTCGAGCTCCTTTGATTTAAATAATACATCGAATGTACAAACAATAATTAGGTACTGCTAAATTGTAATGAATCTTTATAGACAACAAGAAGTGACGCTTAACAAATGACAATGGGAAGCTCAAACCAAGAACAGAACCGAAGAAATTACAACTGAGTCTATCTTGACGCCGCATGCCGCGCAATGGATCGAGTCAATTAGAGAGCGGACATGAAATTTTTCACTAAAACTGCAAATTTTGATGTTTATTTTGTCATACATGTGTTTTGTGTACATGTTTGTATTTCACACTTCAAGGAGTGCCTCTGAAAGGAAATTTTACGAGGAAACCAACGAAAGCACTTTTAGAACCTCAGAGGTGTGGATAAACGGAGTTATAAGCGTTTAAAGTCGCCAAATTTTGTCCGAACCTCTCCTATTAACTCGATCCACTGTGTGCCGTGCTTCGGTGACATTCAATGGAAGAATAGCAGTTTACCATTTCCAGTTATGATCAAAGGGCAAGTCAAATGATCAAAATCACGAGCCCTACCGTGAAGGTGGCTGTCATTTGTTGTGCGTCTTTAAACCCCGTCTCAAACATTGAGTAACTCAAGAATCGAATAATTATCGAAATCGCTATGATAGACGAGTTTTTTTTTTTCAAAAATTCATGTAGAAAACTTTATTCGTAGTGTTTCACCTACTAGCAGCTATAAACCATCTCCTGAACAAAACATTGAGGTTTTAAGTGCGGTTGTTCTAATAGATCACAGAAAATGTCCTTTATTTAATTACCACCATATTGTTGCCAATTTTGAATACTGCTCGTCGCATGTTATACGGTCATTAGAAGGAATTCTTTCCGTCTAATAGGAAACAGTGAAATGCACACAGAATTCAATTTCCAGATTTCTAACAGTTTACTGTGGGCTAATTATTGAAATTGATGATATACAAAGCGATAGGCAAAAGAGGAAATTGGAGCGATCCTGTTGGTGGAAGCCGGTGTTAGCAATAGAGAAAGGAGCTAGGTAATCGACTAACTAATGGCAACCCACGAAAGACTCCACAATTTGTCCATCATTTTCCTCCACAGTCTGTAACACGTAACAACTACCGACGTTTCAACCAATAGGATTGCTCCATTTTCCCTTTCTATCCTTTGTCTATAGCTGTGTCTATCAATTTCAGTAATCAGCCCGTTGTGCCATTTTTAAAAAGGGCTGAGACGACTGAAGACTCAATCTGCTTTCACCTTCGGCCGAATCGGTCTATCCGTAAAAAAAAGGAAGAAGACGAAAAAAATCCGGGGTATTATTCTGCCGTGTTAAGGAAGAACGCCGTATGAACATTCGAGAGTTGCCAAATTTCCTCCGATAAAATTTTTATTTTCTAGGAACGTCATGAATATTTTTCCTTTAAATTTTCAGAATCTTTATGTGAAATTGCGAACAAAATTATCTGAAAAATTAAGAGGGAATTATTCATAAATTTACCAGGAAATTCGCGTTTTATCAAAGGAAATTTGGCAACGCCTGAAGTTTCATACTGCGTTTTTCCTTATTACGGCAGTATTAAGATTGGCACGAACAAGCAACGACCAGCCGCAGCATGTCATCAATGTCATCGATATGCGGCAGAAGACGGTGACGTAGACGTAAGATGAGCGACAGGGTTATAAATGGTAGGTATAAAAGGTACTTGCGTTTCGAGATCGAGGCCTCTCATAAATTTCCTTATTTTGGATGTGCGCGCAATATGTTGATTGATGAAGCGTCGAGTCTCAGTTATTGCTCCCCAGCACAAAAAAGGGCTCTCCCTCTGAGCTGTCTGCGATGTCTTGTTTTTGTCGCGTCATCATTTTTACTCGAGCCTTCTGAGCGTTCAGCTGATTTCGAACACTTTTTTTGCATTCAAAACGCCACCACAATTTATTCTAGGACAGTGTAAACTCAGGGCAGTTTTGTTGTGGATTCTCTTGTCATACACATCAGAAATAACGTAGTTGAGGGGGGCTATTTGAAAAAGAGCATAACCGCCAAAGTTTCAGGAATTAAGCTCTCGATGGGATGCTATTCTTGAAGAGTGGACGCCGAGGGACAATACCAAAATTGCCCTCAAAATGTCTGTAATAAACATTTGAATATCTGCTTTGGTGGAAGGAGGACGCTGGTTTCCGAGCCACGTATCTGAGTACAGGGTGTTTCTTCAAGAAAAAACCCACGAGCAAGGGTAAAAACCAAGGTTACAATACTGCTAAAAATAGCAGCACTGAGCAGTATTAGAATTTTTGTAGAAGAAGGACGTATCCTCCAAAATTTTAAAAATTTGGATTTCTTTCCCTATCCGTGTGGCCGCGGTTTTATTACGATATCATGTAGAACAGTGATTGATTTTTTCGAACAGAAATGTGAAATATTTTCGGAGGAATCAAGTTTCCTTCGTGTTTTCTCGAAGTATGGCTTTCGGTGGTTAAGCTCTTCTTCAAATAACCGGTTCAACCAGATGCCGTCTCATTTCCACGCGGGATTAAATACATAGACACATTTGATTCAGAAAATAAAACAATTATTATTTACATCATTACCCGGAAATATTCAGTGGATTTCGGGTGGCATATAAGTCGAGATTTCGCTCACATGTTTTTCTGTACATATTTTAAAATTTGCAGACACGTATTATACAAGATAACAAGCATATTTCCTAATTTATGTCAGTAAATTTTCAACCTCACATATCACAGGCTGCAGTGACAGAACCTTGAAACCTATTTTTTTCCATTTTAAAGCGCGCTTTTTGTAAGTTTTAAGTTAAATTTGACTTGGCAAAAGCATTGAAGAAAATATTCAACCAAATTCTGCTATATTTTATTCTTGATGAAGGTTTAAAATCCGATTTTAGATTTAAGTTTTATCCATAAAAATCAAAAGAGAGAAGAGGTTAAGACCATTTAAAAATTTCAGTTTTTGTGTTGAAGGAAAATTTTTGTATGTAGTTCCAGACTCGGCAGCCATGAACCCATAAGCTTCCGTTTTCTCATGACTAAAAACAGAGAAAATCCTAAAATTGTACAGCTTTACCTCACCTAGGATTATTTTTACAAAAAGCATAGCATTTCATGGATAAAACTTTTGTTGCAAAGCAAACATACAAAGGCATACCATACATTGCAATCCTGCAAGACCAGTAATCAATACTCGTATCATTAAAGGCACTAAACAATATTATGAACGCAGATGTTTGAAGTTCTTGAAAACGATCCTTCTTAATAATTCAAAAGATGTTTGTCAGAAATCCGCGTAAAAAATTTTCACCTAGGTACAATGAAAAAGCTGCAAGAGGAATTGTTTATGATGTTCTCAAAAAAGTTCCTTAAGCATCAGAACATGTGACCGTCACTTTCAAGTCTATAAACTAGCAGATTTCTTTTGGATGAAGAAAGGAAATGAAAACGCAACTTAGGATATTTCAACATTAAAATAAACATCGACGGTGGAACTTCCAAACCACGTATCTCGGTCTGCGGTGTTGCAGACTTTCTGTCATACTTTTTGGAAAACTCTGTAGTTTTCAAATAAAGTATGACGGAAAGTCTGAAAGTCTGAAAGTCTGTTGCTGTCAACAATGGCGAGGCGTGAATGATCGATTATCGATATTTTCCCGTTTAAAGCTATGGTAAAGAATCGATTATTTAGCTGTTCGTTGCGAACACTCAGCTTATCGATCCTTTTTCATGGGTTTAAATGGCAAATGAATCAATGTGTCGTAAAGCACGCCACGCCACTGTCAGGCAATTCTAAAAAACTGTCATTATTTTCTTCTTTGTGCGAGGAAAATTTTGTGGAATCTTCAAAGAAATATGTAGGTTTCCTCACCTTAAAAAAATTAAAATAAAAGCGGAGATTTAAAACAATTCCAAACGAGATACGTGGTTTAAGAGCTTCATCATCGACATACAATGCTTTCGGTCAATAAATAACAACAATGAGCTATCTCATACAGTCAAGTCAGTCATGTGTCTTTCTTGCAAATTACATTTACTTCAAAGACTTCTCGTAAAAATGAAAAAGGTTCTTTTCAACTAAGGGTCATATTCATAGTTGTTACTTAACGTTCAGACGTTCTCAAACAGCGTTATTGTAATGGCTTAAGGAGGTCGTAAAGTCTAAAGAACGACCATGAATATGACACAAAATCGTGTTGACAGCTGCTTGAAATGGGTTTCTTAGGTTTCAACATCTTCCGACTTTTTGGAGATTTTGAAAAGATTCTGAGCGTGGATTTCCGGTTATATTTGCACCCGGGTTCAGTTTTCATGCCCCGGGTCCTAATATGAGATCCTGTGCTGCCGTCCTAAGGAAAAATGCCGTATGAGCCTTCAAACGCTGCGAAATTTCCTTAACTAAAACACGAATTCTTGGTAAACTAAGGAATTTTTTTCTGCCAATTTTTCAGATAATTTTGTCTCCGATTTCACCGAAAGTTCCTGCAAATTGTAAAGAAACATATTCATAGTTTTCCTCAAAAAACTGGGCAACTCTCGAATGTTCAGACGGCGTTTTTCCAAAGCACGAAAGCGTGGGCTTAGAATCCGCAACTCAGAACGTAGTGCGATGCGCAGACGTTCTCGGGATCAGCTTCAGAACATTCAGAAGCAATTTCTTGCATTTCAAGACGTTCTGACTTTTCCGCAGACGCTAAACGTAGATATCTCCTTATGCACCCGAGGAAGGAACATCTTGCTCTGGATCCGAAAGAGCGCTGACAGTTCCAGCCGACGCAACCAACAACGCAGTGGAGAAAACACGTTACCCAGATCAAACTGTCAGGGTTCAAAGGGGTCTCTTGCCTTTCAAAATCTGCTAAATTATTCCAGACTTTGAAAGAACGCTGAGTTTGGAATTCCTTGCTTCGGATCGGAGATAACGCCTGCAAATCCGGACAACGCAACCGGCAACGCAGCATAAAAAATGTGTTACCGCACAAATCATCAAAGCGTGAGGGTTGTCGAACGGGGTACCTCGTACTTCAGAATCATCCGACTCATCTTGGGCCTTGTAAGAACGCTGAATATGGAATCCCTCGCCCCGGACCCGAGAAAGCGCCTGTAGTTCCAAACGACGCAACCCGCAACGCAGTGGTGCGAGAATGTTGCTGGGATCGAGGCGTGAGGGCGTTAGATTGGAGTGGGCGCCTCGGGGCCTAGACGGTGAGTTCGGGCTTTGTAAGAACGCTGAATATGGAATCCCTCGCCCCGGAGCCGAGAAAGCGCCTGTAGTTCCAAACGACGCAACCCGCAACGCAGTGGTGCGAGAATGTTGCTGGGATCGAGGCGTGAGGGCGTTAGATTGGAGTGGGCGGCTCGGGACCTAGACGGTGAGTTCGTGCTGCTTGGCTCGTTTGGGGAGCTCCCTGGGGTTGGAGTAGGCCATACCTTCGCTGAGCGCCGACGGAGGGTCGTAGTAGATGGCGCAGGACTGGCCCTCGATGCTGCACACTGATTCCTCGGGCGTTCGCGAGACCTCCACCTCGCAGCCATCGCTGTGCTCGCCCACCCCGCGTCCAAACCGGAACGACCGGTTCCGCAACAGGGTCTGAAACAAAGGGAAATCATCAACTCTAGTCTGACAGACACAAATCGGAGGATCACAAACTTATGTTTGATAGAGAAGGAGATTTAATTGAAATATGGGTAAACAAGGCTAAACAATTATTGAAACACTAAAAGGCAGGACGTTTCGAGCTGTTACCAGCTCATTTTCAGCTGCAAAAACACCTAAAAACAAGTAAAACATTGAGTGGCAACCTGACCCCAGCCGTTATCTCGTAGCCACTGGTGGTTACGTGATACGAAGAAGGATGAGAAGCAAAAGGTGTTGAAGAAGAGGAAGGCGCAGGGATAAAAGGGAAAGAGAATGAAGGAGCAAAGAGGGACAAAAAATAATTAATATTCCCCCGTTCTTTTTTCCATTTAATCTCTTCCTCTTTTTCGCCCTTTTTTCTTCTTCGTCTCCTTCTTTTTCTTATTTATTCATCCCTCTATGCATCTTCATCTTCTTTTGTGTGAATTCCTCTACAATATCCTGTTGATGGATATGCTGGTGTTTGCCTGGAACACCTCGGGAGGCACCGCGAAACCGCGATGCCGGAGAAAAATATGGCACTGGGCTCAATCGACTTGATAACGCCGCTTCATTAGCTACGTCATGATGGATGAGTCCCTGAGTATTGATCATTATCTACCTCCCTCTCGACAGGGGAGGCGATCGGGAACATAATAATCGGCACCAGGGAGATATTATTTATTGAACTTAAGCCAAAGTTGCACATAAATTGTGACGGCAACGGGGCGGGCGGCTCCGCTCGTTGCTGCAGCCAGCTCTCGGTGAAATATGAAAAATCTCGATTCAAAATGCGCGTGCATTTTAAAATGCTCAGCGTCGATTTTTGCAGCGATTCCTGTTTCTATGCAAGGTACGTGATGGACACATTTTTTCGGGAAAAGACAAGAAATAAACACTAAAAAATGTCACAAACCGATTGCAGTAGACGTACAGGTCACTTAGACAGAAAGTTGGTAACGTAGGCAACGTTAAAAATTAGCATGAAGCTGAAAATCTCAATACAGAGGGAAAAAGCTCATATGAGCACGAAGAGATGTGCTGTTTGGTGCAACACTAGTTACGACCATTCAGGAAGGTAACTACAGACGCTTTTCTGCACTGGAAAAAAAACACATTGGATCTAGAGTACAAATTCTTGAAAACATTGACAAGAAAAAGGACTCTTGATTCAATCAGATTTAAGCTTAAATCAAAAGGAAATCCGCTCAAACTAAGAGGCTTGGTTCTTGATTTAAGCTTAAATTTGATTGAATCAAGAGTATTTTTTCTTGTCGATGTTTTTAGGAGTCTGGACTCTAGATCCAATATGTTTTTTTTTCCAGTGTGGTCTAATTAGACCCATCATCATTGTGCAGCGCAGTCTCCTTTTCTCTCCGTATTGAGATTTTCAGCTTAATACTGATTTTTAACTCACGTTGGCTACGTCACCAATTTTCTGAGTGGCCCAAACTGTAATATAACAGGGAAGTAAAGTAGTGCAGGGATCACACTAATTTGCAGGCCCAAAAATTGCACACATTAAAATTAAAGTAAAACAAGCTGCTGGTTCCAACACTACTGTGTTGGAGAGCTCGCCTTTGGAAAACTATTAACAACTATTAATGATTTTTTCTGAAATTGTATATGTATTAAATGAATCTTTACCCAATTATCAGAGGTTACATGCCGATGAAAAATGTTATGACGTAATTTCATATGACAAATTTTTCACATTACAATAAATAAAGAGAAATAAAGAGAGAGAAATGGAATTATCTTTTATGAATGTGATTTTGCGGCAAATGTTGCAATGGCTATTTTTGCCATCGCATTTTTGTTTTTGGCTTTCATCGTTGATAAGCTTTTTCTTAACTTGTCAACAATGTAATGAAA